GGTTTACATTTCCTGGAGGGATGGATGTGCTTGGACAGACATTTTCCCCTTGAGCTGCAGCTCTAGCCAGTTGTAAAGAACATGGGGATCTAAAGATGAGATGGGAAAAAAGACAAAATACCTATTTCTGTCTGCTCCCCCTAAGGGAGACCTGCTGTACCTCAGGAAAAGACTGCAGGAGTTATTGCCAGTTAAAACTGGTCAGGGAGGAATTGCTCATCTTCTGAGTCCTCAGTCTCTCTGTACACCTCCAAATGTCACTCACACTACAATGAGAGGACAATCTGCAAACATCCACATAAACCTTTGCAGTCCTTGCTTTCATTGCATCTCCCTCTGAGCACTCTTGGGTGGCAGTGAAGCACAGTTTGGTTTTGTTGTCGTGTGTGTGTTGTAAGATTGCCTGGTTTATTTCCTCCCAATGTGTCCTATTTCTAAATACACCATGAGAATGAAATTGTCATATCAGTAAAATATAGGGGAAAAACAATTGGTGAACAGAGTTTTTTGGGTAGCAGGGAGAAGGTTGAGTTTATGGAGAGCTGGCAGGGCTTCAGTGATATTGCTGGCAGGTAGGAGAGACCTCAATTAATCCAGGACACGTTCTGCTAATTAGGGAGATAAACCATACTTGTTTTTGTGGTGCAGATCCCCCTGAAGCCAGTCTTGTTGTTAGCTGTGAATCCACAACCCTGGCTGATGGAGAGCAGCTCCTTTGGCTCCATCTCCCTCTCCTCACTCCCAGCACAGGCAGCACTTCTCAGTAATGCAGCTCCAACTCCTGGCTTCAAAAATTCATAATATCGCCCCCTATTTCCTCTCCAGATTGTTCATATTGCACATCAGTAGATCAGTACTCCATAAAGCAGTCAGGCTTGTTTGTTTGTCTTGTTTCCTGAAGCAGGCTATACACTAAATAGAAATTCTATATAGATTTAGCATTAAATGAAGTAACCCTACAAAGGCCCATGGAGCTCCCTTGGCACATCCCACTTCCAGTTTTGCTCCCTTGAGCATCTCCATGGGAGGTGATGCTGCTGAGCTCAGTCCTCATGTCAAAGTCCTGCTTTTAATTTAATTTTAAGTTCTCTTTCCCTGCTATGGAATGAGAGCAGGGAGCAGGGTGGCGCTGGCTGTGCTGCTGCAGTGTCAATATTGGAGGAACCCAAGGCAGATGGCAGCATTCCCACCACAGCCCAAGGCCACAGCTCTGTTGAAAGCCACTTTTTAATGAATTGAGTTTTCTGGTGGCAACTGGGGTGACCTCATTCATTTCAGGGGCTGTGTCTGCCTGGCAAGGGCAGGCAGGGAGGAGAGGCAGGGGAATGAAGAAATCTCATTCTTGCTTTCCAGCTACACTGACAAAAAGGCAAATTTTCCTTCTGAAATCGGGGAGGATTTAAATCGTAAGAACCTGTGGTTTATAAAAAAGGTACTGTAACTTATGAGGCTGGGTTTCCACATGGCCAGAGGTGAGGAAGAGAGGTCAGCCCTGGTTCTGCCTTCAGTATTTCCTCCAGAGATTTATGTAACAGGCTGGGCAAGAGCTCAGACGTCCTAGGTGAGAGTGGGAGTGCTCAGGCTCCACACGTTGATGTGGAGTTGCCAGATTTGGTTGGTCTAGTCTGATTCTTGGATTTCCCTGTTCTCCCCTGCTGTGGGATCCCATGTGTATGTGCTAGATTTACTGTTCACTGGTGTCTTTCAAGAAGAGACATGAAAGAAACAGACTGAAAGAATGTTTTGATACTTCTATGATCTGTATTTTTTCACCTGGTATGTACATAATCCAAAGGATACAGGTGGAATGATATGTATGACATGTTCTGAAGGTAAGCTCCCACTAATTTCCAGCCTCCTTCCTGTAGTTCCCACTTCATCACTGCCCCACAAACAAATCCTGCAGGCTCAAACTCTGCTGCATCCTTGGCTGGAGCTTCAGAACCATATTCTGGATGGTACAAGACTCTTCCTTTGCTGAGAGCCTGCCCACAGCTGGACCTGTGGTGGCTGCTCCTTGTGCAGCTTTGAGTTGGTGCCAACTCTCAGCGTATATCACAATTTGGCAATCTTGCTTTGCACCTAGAGCTGTTCAGTATCAACATTATTCCTTTTCGTTCCATGTATTCTCTAAGTTTCTCAGAGAAAAGGCATTGTGAATTGAACTGGCTGAAATACATAATTTCCTTTTCACAGAAAATCCTGTTGTTCTGGGAAAATCTTTTCTTACCATTTGAACGTAGGACTGTGGTCTTAAAAAGAAACCTCATGTAAGAGAGATCATCTGTATTTTCACTAAGGAAAACTGAGCACAATATTTAATATTTCCAGGATGCATGTTGACTTTGGAGCATAGTACTGGAATGTGCTTCCAGGCTTTATGCCCTTGCCCAGATCCCAGGCCATGATAAAGAAGATTTTTCTGGTATTAAGCTTCCCTTCATGTTTCTTTGTTAAATAGAATTTTCTTTGTGAGCACAACTGCTTCTCATAACATGGATTTGAGTTATGTCTAGGACAGTTCTTACTTGATTGTACTAGCTGAAAATCAGGAGTGTTGCATCGGAATCTTTTGGGAATTATTAAATATTGGCAAAACAAAGCCTTTTTCTGGAGCTCAGGCACCTCAACTCTCTGTCCACAGACTCAAGAGGTTTTCCAGAGTGGAAACTCGAGCAGTGAACAAAAAAAGAGCAAATATTTCTATTTACTTCAAATGGTTTTGCCCAATTCATCCAAGGAAGAGACCAAGTAAACAAAGGGACCTCCTTTAAAAGGTAGATAAACAGGCACCAGTTCTTTCCATAATTTAAGTAAGGAGGACATAGAACTCCTCCCTCAAGGCAGTTTAACAAATCCTCCTTTGAGTAGGATATGAAAATAGAGGTTTTTCCATTCCAGTTTCTGTATATGTTATAAATGCTGTACAGAGAGTTTGGGAAAAGGGAGTCTAAACATTATTGTTTGAGTGTTACAGAGCTAGACTTGGAGTTCAAATTGTAAAGGGTGAAACGTTAATTAAGTGCAGCACAATGAAAAACTACGTGAAAGCCTGAGAGATATGAATGACTTCTCGTTTTGTTGGTTTAGATGATGACTTCCTGGGTTTATTTTTATGGCACTGGGAAAATATCACACAACTCTTGTTTCTCTTTGATTCTTCAACTTTAAAGTTTCCTGAACCAGCTCCATGGAGGGAGGAGAAAGCTTATTTGTTGTTGTTGATGAATACCTATTGTGAAGCTTTATTTATAGAAGCCCTTTGTTTGCAGCTGTTCTTTAGGCTTAAAATATGTAGAACATAAAACATGGTGCATCTTTGGGGGGATATGATTTGAAATGATGCAGTGTGCCTGTTCCAGTTTGACTCTTCTGTGGCCTGAGGAATGAGGATGGTTAAAGAAGTGGCACAAAGGGATTTTGAGGAGCAGATATAATGGAAAGCCAGACACAGTGGTTTTGAGCTGTGTAAGTTTGGGGAGGAAATAAAGAAATCTCCAAACACCCAAAGTTATAACCTAGTAGAACTCTTTTTGCTTCAGGGGTGGTGAGCCAGGATTTGGTTGGTTCAGGGTCCTGATGTGCATCCTGATGGGGTGGGAGCTCTCTCTGGGATTCTGCAGAGAAGAGGGAGAGGGAAAATCGGGACCACTGTGCTCCTTGAGGTGACACTGGAGTCTCTTCTTCCCCAACTCTCCTAAGGCTTTATGCTGTGATAGAATTAGGCAGATGAATGTAAATCCTGTATTTGTACTTCTCCAGACATGGAGCTGCTTAAAATAATCATGGGAAAACCAGAGTCTGGCAGCTCTGAGTTACCTTCTAACTCAAGCAAAATGAGAGGAGTCCTTAATTTGGGCTGGGTTGTGGAGTGCTTCTGGGGGATGAAATGGCTTCTCATTTTATGGCAACACAGAACCACTGGGAAGAGGCAAATCTGTCCTGTCCTTCAGCAAACTGCTGTATTCAATTTACTTCATTACAGACCAACAGTTCAAAACTGCATCTGACTAACAGAAATGCTTATTGAATGTATACTGAGCATATGTTCAGTGCATATTGAACATGACACCATTCTTACTGCATTCCTTGCTCCCAAACAAAGGATGAAATGTTTATCATTTGGGCTCAGTTCAAGAAGTATAATCTATAGTTTCCAGACCTAGAAGGACAGTTTCTTATGGCTGTACACCTCGAAGAGCAAGTGATGTGTCCTTGAATGGTTTAGATCTTCACTTAATGTTTATGTTACTCTTAATTTTGTAGAGTTGCTCCCTTTCAAGCTTGTGTTTCACCTAATGACTCCATTTTGGGTGCTGCTGACACATTCCTGGGCTGGCACCAACCCATGGTGGTCTCTGTGTTTTTGTGTCCCTGTCAGCACATGGTGCCACAAAAGGATTATTGGTAATGCCAGGATTCCATGCATTTTACAGGCTGTCTTCCCTTGTGTCACAAGGTCTGTTTGAAAAGGGCTCTGGTAAAATTCTGCTGGAAACAGAATGTAGTATTTCCATGGGAGGAGGATGCACAGGAGTTGCACCTCAGATACCTTCATGTCTGCTCTCTCACCCTTGAGGGCACACGAAGAAACTTGCTGCTGTTTTATATGTTTGGAAATTCTCATCATAATAGTCTTTTTATTTGTATTTTTTAGTTAATTTAGGTGTGCTTGTGGAAAGGAGTAGCAGAGGGGTGTGCACAGAGAGAGCTGAGCCTCCCTCACACAGTGAAGCAGGCTTTGCAGGATGGATTCATTTCCAAGTGTGTGTTCACTTCTGTAACACAAATGACATAAATCCTTGTCTAGGGAGAAAACCACAGCCATGACATCCTGCTCTGGAAGCCATCCTGGAATGTCAGCTCTCCTGTGGGAAACACAGGGGTAGCCTGAGAGCTGAGGTCTGTGCCACCAGCTCAGCAATCCCGGTGCTGCCAAGCCTGACCTGCAAACATGAGCCCTCCCTGTGCTCACCAGTCTCTGCTTTGATTTTCCCCAGGAGCTCTGACTCTGAAGAAGCATTTGAGACCCCGGAGTCCACTACACCTGTCAAGGCACCACCTTCACCTCCACAGCCTCCCCCTGAAGCAGCAGCAGCAGCAGAAGTGGTTGCAGACGTAGCAGAGCAAGAAATAAAACCTCAGCTGCCTGTGGAAGATACAGGTAAAGAGTGGGACACGTCACTGGGAGAGGTGAATATGCAGGGAGCTGTTTCTCTGAGCACTGACAAGGAATTATGCTAATAAATTGGCTTCTGGAATATTAATTAATTACCCATGCAGAGAGGAAAAAACCCTGTTGCCTCCTGGAATAAAGTAATGGAGAATCTGTGCAAAACATTTCAAAAGTATTAAAGAAAAGAGGAGCTCTCTAGAAAAAACTTTCTTCCTTTTGAACCAAGCTTCTTTTTCTAGGATTTTTACAGTCAGTTGAGTAGAAAAAAGAGATGTGGGTTGCAGATGCAGGTACCTGGGTGAGCACTATTAGCTATGACAATTAACAAAATGCCATTTTCAAATGTGTTACTGGAACAGGAGGTAGTCAGAAAACAGAATTACTGATTTTATAGGAGGAACGTGGAGCTGCATATGAATGTATGTATGGTATACATATGTGAAAATTGGTACATACTGGGAAACTAAAATATTTTAAAAGGTAGAATTGTATTTAAAACCCAGAGAAATTCTTTCCCCCAAAAAATGTTCTTTGTTCTCCAGATTGAGTAATGGAAAATGAGGGAGTAGAAAGCTTGCTATTAGCCCAAAATAGCTTTGTTTGGGCTGTCAGATGACAGCTCAACAGCTTGAGACTGAATTCCCCATTATACTGTCTTTTTACCATCTGAAAGTCAAGTCATCTTGATCACCTGGCTAAATTGTATGCAGATAATATTTCTCCCAGCAGTCTAAAGCTGCTAAACACTTGTATTGTGTTAGGAAAGAGTTGTAGCATCCAACTCTTGTAGCAACCAAAGGGAGTTACTCATTAAGCAACCAGTCCTGTTTAGGATCTTGATTTATGATAGGTTTTTAAGAAGCTTCAAGGATTTTCTACAAACTGATTCCACAAAATAAAAAGTAAATACTGAGGCACCCTGATGCTTTTTCCTTTCTGCTGTTAGAGTTCCCTCTTCATTGTAGCAAAAGTTACTCATTTTGCATCTTTTTTCCTTTTTGTAAATCTTTAGCAATCCAATGATTACAAAATAAGTGCTCAGAGAACAAAAGGAACACACATGCTGAACAGGGTTGGAGTGTGCTTTTAATTACTGCAGCAGATTATCTTCAAGCCCCTGGTTACACATGTGCTTCCCTGGCACATGTGATTCTTGTCTCCTTCCATCCCAGTTCCCCCCTCCTTTTTTTTCAGATCTTTCTGAAGAAAAGTGGGAAACTGAATTTAGCTATTCACAGCCAGTGTGAACTTTATTGGAGGCCATTGGATGGCAGAGGGGAAACCAGTTCATTTGCAAATCACATTGTCCATGGGAGGCAAGTTACAGCAAAGTCACAGAGATCTGTTCAGTGATCCAAAATGACACAAAACACAGTTATACAACAGGGGAATTTATTGGAGGGGAAGAAGATGCGTAGTGCAGAAAAAATCCAAATGTAGGAGGGCAGCACAAAGCGTCCATTTGTTTTGGAAATCTTTAGAAGAAATAAATAATGGTGAGACCATAGTTTAGGTGTTTAGAAATGAGAAAAGTTAAACATTTTGTACTGTATAAACCACTTGAGTGTCTCATAGTTTATTTATTTCATAAGTTATGCGTGTGGCTGCTCACAAAGAGAATTGTAGTCCCTTCCTCAGGGGCATTGAAGCAGAGTTCCTGGATGGCACCATACAGCTAAAAACCAGGATTCACTGGAGTAGGAGTGAGGAATATGGGCAGCTGGAGAGCCTGGCATGGGCACAGGGAGAGGAGCAGTGTCCTGCTGGGCTCCTGGTTCAGCAGCCACATGGCTTTGTCTGCACGTGGGATGGGTGGCAGAGCGTGTTTGGGTGGAGGGAGGGAGCACAGTGTTTAAAGGATTCTTTCATCTCTAGCTGACAGTAATTACTTATGCAGAGGGCTGCAGTTGTGTTGCATGATATCATTAGCACAGCAGCTGGACCCCACTGCTGGAAAGGCAAGAGGAGAGGTTTTAATTAGGTTGACTTCAGTGGTCCTTTAGTGAATATGATGAAAGTGAGCGAAGCTGGACTGGTGCTGGGTTTGTGCCAGCTCCTGGTGGGGTAAAACCTGCTGCATGGCTCTGGTCCAGCAGAGCAGAGGAGAGGAGGGGAGTCAGTCTGAGGGCAAGTCTGGAGGGGAAGAGGAGCAGCAGGGCAAGTGTGGAAACTCCCCCTGAGCCCCAGGAATTGCCTCCAGCCCTTCCATTCCTCCCTGAATAATTCTGGGAAACATGGGTTATAATCTCATATTGGAGTGTTTGAGGTTGCAGTTGTTATTGTCATTGTTTTAAATTATTGTTACTTGTCTCCTCAGCTTCCCATAGCTGTGTCCTCTTGTCCCTTGTTTCATCCATCTGAGCACCAGAATATCCCCCAAGCCCATTCTCCCAAATGCTCTGGTCAGATTTCATTCACAGGGGGAAAAGTGAGAGCTGGAGTCCCCTGTGTGCATTACAGCTCAACAATCAGGATATGGGGCAGATCCTATTTTTGAGTCCTTCTGGTGCCAGGGAAATTCAAGGTCAGGCTTTCCAATAGAGACATTATGGTCCAGACAAAAACAAACTAAATTTTTGGTATGGACAGCATTCTTCCTTAGTGTTTTTCCTCTTGAAGCCTGATACAGAAAATTTGAAAAGAAACTTTTATATAAAATGTTAGAATACATCTTAGAATAAATGACAAAAGTATTTTTACAGAACTTTAAACAAGTGGTACTAATTGATTTTCTGACATCAAAGGGTTTCCGTAACAAGAAGGAACTTGAAATAAACCGTATTTCAAAATTTCTGGTGTAAGGCAATTCCAATTCCTCTATGCTTTTGGCATTTTTTCCTCATAACATAGTAACTGGGTGCATGTTGTGTGCATTTTCCATTGTTTGCTTTTTCTCTAGAAAACAGAACTGATATTCAATTTCTTCTATATTTGCTTATTACATCTGTTAAAATGTTATTGCTAAGCCTGTCAGAACAGTGTTTCATTTTGTTTCCAGCTCAGCACTCTTAAGGCCTATTTCCAGTTTATTTCTGCTTTGGAGATGCTTCAGCAGAGTAGCCCCTTGCCTTGGCTACTTCTGTAAAAAAGCAGCAGAAATTTGTTTTGTTTATTAATACACACAGTGTTACAATATTTCATTCATGTTCTCAGGCACAGGGTGGGATTCCTGGGTCTGTCCTGTGCAGGGCCAGGAGCTGGACTTCAGTGATCTTTGTGGGTTCCTTCCAACTCAGGATATTCTGTGATTCTGTGACTTTCTATCAACTTTTGGTTCTTCCCTAGCAGGTGCCAGGTGAAAATGCCAAGTGTTAAATATGCCAGGTAACTCTGATATTTAGGTCTCATCACCTGGATACAAGAAGTCTGAGGTTTATGTTGATGAGTTTGGGTTTGGGAATTTTTTATAGTTGATCCAGTGAAAATGTGGTTGGAATCAGAGGAATTTCCCAGTGGAAGGAGCAGAACTTGGACCTTCTTTTTTTAATTAATGAAACTGGGGGTTTGAGGAGCTTGCCTGGCTTTTTTATTGCAGTGTAAGTTCCCCAGCTATCCTCCATGTTCTTGGAGAGCTTTATAAAATTTAATATCTTCTTGTGGGCAGCTCTTACCAGTATAAATTGTGGGTGACTCAGCGCCAATAGAAGGCATAAACCTGATTTAAAATGTTGTGCTGGTCTCTCTCTAGGGCAGGTAAATCCTGCCTTAAATCTCATAGCTGGTGTTGTAGTATGTTCCTTTGTGCTCAAACTGCATTTTAATAAAATACTGTAGTGATACTGATTGGCTTGATTTTGTGTTGTAAAAGGACAAATGTCCTTGCTCTCTGAGCAGGCTGTTAATGTCAGGAAAGTGTGGTCTTCATGGCTTTGTGGTAATAAAGCCTTGAGTACCATTTATGCCTCCTGGCCCAGCAATTCTGCTGCTGCCAGGAGCGAGCCAGGCCTGTCCTAAAGCCAGAAGAGGCTGACAGCAGCATTTCTCTTCTGCCAAGAGCTGTTTGCTGAGACAGTTTCACATCTTGTTTCATAAAGAAACAATGAAAATATCGAGCAGCGCTCTGCAGAAATCTGTACTCTTGAGTAAAAGGGATTTGATGAGGAGGAAGTCATGAAATAAGCAGTTAAAGAAGATTAAAGCCTTGCACTGTGTGGAGCACACAGAATTGAAATGCTGCTTTGTTGGGAGTAGCTGCAAAGCCTTGCACGTTCCCTTTGCATGATGCATCCCAAACCTCAGCCTCTTATTTACAGTCCAAGTCCTGCAAGGCAATGGTTTATTTTATTATATTTTACTTTTTTTAATGCATGTTTATAACAACTTGGAGCAAAGGCCTCGATGCTGTTGAGGGTTTTGACGTAGGCAGGAATGAAAACGGGGCATAACTGCAGCTGACTCCTCGTTCAGATCCCACTTTGATTTCTTGCTGACCTACATTTGTACTCCACTGGCATCCCAGTGTTTATTGTGATGTATTCCCCTGAAATGCCTCCCAGTCTCCTTCCAGGGTGAAAGGGACAGATGAGGCTGATGCTGGAGGTCTGTGTCACTCTCTGAGTGCCCTTTACAGGAGTCCCATCAGTGTCACCAAGTGATGTGTGTGTGAAGTGAGCACCAGCCTAATTAATGACCCCTCAGCCAGGCTGAAACCAACCCAAACCAGTGGGGATTAAGGGGAAAATAAACTGTTCTGAAGTACTGCCACACCATTAGCATTCATTTAGCAGAGAAAACACATTAGAATATTATTTTAATTGATGTATCCTGGTGAACTTCCACAGTCTTAAAAGAGAAGCTGCATAGCTGTCATCCCTTTGACAGTCTCTGGAACTACATGGTGCCACTTTGGGAAATGTGTCCAATTCCCTTAAATCCTTTTCTGTGCTCTACACCCATAAATAATAATCCTTGCAGACACACAATTTCTTCTGAAACAAAGGAAATATATTTTTCCATTTTCTTAATCCATTCATAGCTTCTCACTAACATAATAATTGATTGTCTGTATGGCTTTTATGAACAGTGTTAATGAATGTAGCCGGGCAAAATGAGAGTTATTCTGCAAAACATGTCAGGATTGGAATGAAAAGGATGAGCAGAAATGTCTCTGAAATCGTTTTGGGTTGAGCAAAACACTCATTTTTTGTTTGACTGTTTTTCGTTATAATTGCATAATTAAAAAAAGATGACAATGTGAAGAAGGCTGTGTTGCTTCAACAGGAACCACGGGGGATTTTGCTCCTCTGTGAGAGCTGAGAGCAGCTGGCTGAGCCCAGCCTGAGCTGGGAGCTGGAGAGAGCTGTCCCAGGCCTGGGGGGACACACAGGGACAGGGACAGAGGTGGCCCTGCTTCATTCAGGTCAGAGTAGTACAGTCACAGCAGGAGCAAAACATATGCAGGATTTGTAAAACATTTGCATAATCAACTTAATGAGCTGCAAGGCAGCAAGGACCATCACCTTCCCGCTTTTCTACCTCTCTATTTTCTAATTTTTTTGTTAAGCACTCTTTCTCTACTTTGTCCAACAGTTGTTTCATCCCAAGTGAAGAGACTTCAATAAATCATTTTAGGATTCTATTCAATAAGAGAATCTTTAATTGCAGTGGAAAGCTGCTTGGATTAAGAGTCTTGACATAAATCTCACTACAAAATTTGCTTTTCATCAACGAGTTATAACTACACTTGGAAAAACCTGGTTTAAATAACCAGTAGGGGCTTCTAGCTTTTTAAAGGAAGATTTTTCAACTGAAAATATTTGTGGAGTTCTCTAAATGACCTTGTTTGGTTTCTTTTACCTTTACCATAATTTATTTCACATTAAGTTCTCAGTTATTCATGTCTTATTATAAACTTGTAATTATTGACTGCTTGGGGCAGACAGAGGAGCAGCATTGATGGATTGTGGAGAGGAAGCCATTTTCCTGTGGGTAAATTGGTAAAAATAGCACATGGGGAACAAAACTTAAGGTCAACATGTAGTTACTGAAGCACCAGTCAATTTACAGGAGATTTACTTCATAAGAGCTCTGACAAAATTGTGTGAACTCTTTATAGTAGTAGAAAATGGGAGTAAGAAAGTGCTTTATGTGCAGTTTTTCTGGTATTGGCAATATTTAGCATATTATGGTAATATCCATCTCTATAAGTGATAGTTTAGAAGAGGTGCTTTAGAGGCTACTGCAAATACATATTTTGGTTTTTTGTGAAACTTGCCTTGAATTCTGTTCCGGGGAGAACAGATCTATTTTTTCCCTAATCTGGTTCATATATTGGAAAATCACTTTGGTTTGCTAATTTGTATGATTTTAATGCCTTTTGCTTGTAGTAATATTAGATTGCAATGAAACCTCCTAAGCCCCAGTTCTGATGAGGTGTTTGAAGTGCCCTGATTTTTCTGTTTGCCCCCACAAACAGGGCTGTGTGCAGAAGCTGAGCCCGTAACCGATGTGTCACACAGCGAGCCAGTTCAGGAGAGCCCCTTCCGTCCCCCCTGCCACTCCTTCTCCACTGTCTTCGACGAGGACAAGCCCATAGCCAGCAGCGGAACCTACAACTTGGATTTTGATAACATTGAGCTGGTTGATTCTCTCCATGCCTTAGGACCGAGCTCTGCAGAGCCCAAGAATCGTGACCCCAAAGCAAATGTCCGGAGAAAATCCACGGATTCAGTCCCGGTGTCCAAATCCACATTGTCTCGGTCCCTCAGCCTGCAGGCCAGTGATTTTGATGGAGCATCTTTCCTTGGCAACTGTGAGACGTTAGCACCCTCAGCAGATGCCTACGGTACTGGTTCCAGCAGTGCTTCCAGTACCCTCAAGAGAACAAAAAAACCCAGACCAGCTTCCTTAAAAAAGAAGCAGTCAGCCAAAAAACCTCTGGATGCTCCACTGGTGAAGGAAACCCCACAAGAACCTCCCGAGCTTGGCCAAGCAGCTTGTGAGGACAAAGCACCTGAGGCGAAGGCTGACTCAGCAAAGCCTGAATGTACTGAACCTTCCAAAGTCTCTGCTGAGAAAGAGGAGGCCCCGTCTGTGCCTGAAGGGTCCGAGCCCTCGGATCTGCACCGTTTGGAAGGGATTGGTGCATTCGGCTCCGGGGGCAGCAAGGTGCAGAACTCCCCCCCTGGCAGCAGGAAAACGCTGCCTCCAACCACGGCCCCCGAGGCTGTGGAGGTGACTCCACCAGACACCGGGGGACAGGAGGACCCTCCCGTCAAAGCAGTGAGGCTGGAGTTTGACTATTCCGAGGAGAAAGGGGGGAGTGAAGAGCAGCAGGAGAGCGCTCCTCCTCCCAAAAAAGCAGGGAAAAAGCCTGGTGCTAAAATGCCGCTCCGGAGGCCAAAGACTAAAAAGCCGGTGGAGAAGCTTGACAATGCTCCGACCACCCCAACCAAGTCGCCCACTGATCCAAACGAAATCCCCATCACTAAAGGCTCTTACACTTTTGATATCGACAAGTGGGACGATCCCAATTTTAACCCCTTCTCATCCAGTTCAAAAATGCAGGAATCTCCCAAACTGCCTCAACAAACGTACAGCTTTGAGCCGGACATGTGTGAGGACTCCATTGATCCTTTCAAGACTTCTTCTAAGATTGCCAGCTCGCCTTCCAAATCTCCAGCTTCCTTTGAGATACCAGCCAGTGCCAACGAAACAAACGGGACAGAAGGAGACAGCCTGAACAAACCTGCCAAGAAGAAGAAGACGCCATTAAAAACGTAAGTTAAAGGGCAAAGATGTTTCTAGAATAGAAGCAGCACATCCCTTAGCAGTAACACAGGATTTATAGCTGAATAGAGAGAGGGAGGTCACTTTGGGTGTTGGTGGCCACAACTGGAGCCATGCTGAGCTGTTCCTGCTCTCAGCCTGTTTCCTCAATTATTTGGTATTTCCAGAACTAGCAAGCCACATTAGGCAACTGCATTTTTCAAGTCTTTGGGCTCAGCATAGTTCTGAACCTGGTTAAATTTTATTAGTTATATACCCAATTTTATTGGTTATGTACCCAATTTTATCAGTTTCATACCAAATTTTGTTGGTTATGTGCCCAATTTCATCAGTTATATACCCAATTTTATTGGTTATATACCCAGTTTTATCAGTTATGTACCCAGTTTTCTGTGACCTCGTTCTGGGAAGTTGATGCTGTTTAAGATGATCAAAGTAATCACACCAGCACAACTATTTTGTGAATCATTGTTTTTAAGCGTGGGATGTGAAATAGTGACAGTGAAAGGCAGTGTCAATCTCATATTGCAAACAGCAGGAAGATGGTTTCATCCAGTGACTTATGGTATTTAAAAGAAAATAACCTGGAACAGAAGAGTGCAGTATGGAAATACATTTTTATATATATTTTTATATATACACACAATTAAGAAATGTGAAAAAATTCCTTTTTATGAAGGAGCTTACAATTGTGCAGAAAGTTTAAAATATCCAAAACTACTATATGTTTGGGAAATATCCAGCTTTTAGACATGGGTGACAAATTCCAGGATAAATTTTCTATGTTGCTGTTAGATATTTGGTTAAAAACCTCTATAGCTGGTTGCTGATTTGCATGTTGCTTTATCTGCACAGATATGGTTATTTTGAGTAGGTGACCACTGAGTTTAAGTGTCCCATATATCTGAAATTTATCTCCTATATATATCTGTAAGAAAGTATCTCAGTTCATGTTCCTTTATGGTTTAAATGTCTCAGCTGACTAACAAAAATAGGAGAAAATTTTTAAATGCCAATTTAAGATAAGAAGATAACATGGTTAATGTAAAGCAGTACAAAATCTCCTGTACAGGGTGAGATGGAGATTATTCAGATTTTTCTGAATAGCCGCCTGCCTTCTAAGCTTGTAATTCAAGTCCTTGTCAGATTTGAGGAAGCTTGTGCCTTTATTTTATTTTGTTTCTAGGGGCATTTCTGAGTTACTGATAGTTTAATTTTTTTAGTTGAGTTGTTTTCTTTGGGAGAGGAGCCTGTTTTTTTCCTGGTGTTGCTACATTTTGAGGTTTACCTGAAATTTAGTGGTAAATGACATTTTTCCAAGCCTGCCGTCCAAACTGATTTGGTCCAAACCAAGAAGATTTAAAAGTCTGACAGCAAGAGAGGAACAATTTGAATGTTACTGGGGAAGTGCAGAGGGAAATTTCAATATCACCAGATCTTTAAGTTTTTGCAGCCAGCCAGAGTGTCCTTGTGTCTTCCAGTAGCTGGAGCTGACAGACCCCCAGAGTGGCCTCTTGGGTTCTCCCATCTGCTTTGAATACTGGAAAGAATTCCAAAGTTATTAATTTAGGGGGAAAATGAGTTTACAGAGAGTTTACTAAGGCATGTTTGTCCTTGAGAAAATCCATCACAGGAAAATTCTGTGTTGGAATGACAAAGTTCAGTGCTGGTGTTTATCAGGGTGGGGAGGTGAAGCTCCCCCAGCTCAGGGCTCACAAGTTCTTGGGTCAGGAGGGCTGCAGGAATTCCCACCCCGTGCTTGGCCCTGCTTTCACAGGTTGTGATGTGTGCTGCTCACTGCAGCCCTGTAACCTACTTTAACCTACTTTTACAAATTTTTTTTTTTTTTTTTTTTTTTTACAAAGATGAGGCTGAATATTAATAACCCATTGCAGCCTGCAGCTGTGGTACTTTCTAGAAAAAAATTACCTTCAGGCTTGAGAGGGGATGCCAGGGTAGGCAGTGGCAGGAGGTTTTATTAGCCCCGTTGAGGGGTGCAGAAAAATCAAACCCTGTTTGAAAATGAGTTCCTCATGTGGAAAAGGCAGTGAATTCTAGATGAGAGGTGAAGAAGCCAGGCATGAGTTCAAGCCTTTGCTGAGCTTGTAATGCTTTAAATCTGAGCCATGTGCTCAATCTAACATGTGCTAAATCAATAAAAATAAGCCATTTTTGTTCTTGAATGAAACTGCAAGAATTTAAGCAATGACCTCCCTGTGAAAAATGAGGATTTTACAAGAGATGTGAGCTCGACACAAGCTGTTCTCATCTCCCCGAGTGCTGAGCTGCTTGGAGACAATCTCACTGCTCAGGTGATGCTGAGCAAGGAGCAGCTGATGCCTCCCCAGAGCCAGCTCACAGTGATGAGTAAAAATAAGTGGTTTGTAGAGATATTGCTTGTGCAGGCATTGCTCCGGAAGCCCTTGGATGGCTGGAGGCTGTTTGGAAATGGAAGGTGCCAGCTGTCATGAGCATTGCACGTGAGGAGAGATGAGCAGAAGCTGCCAAGCTTATAAGTAAATGAAAACTTCTCTTAGTTTAAGATGTTTGGCAAGGTTTGGTTCTGCTTTGAGGGTAATTAATTTGCTCTGTTAGAACACCAGGTTAGGTTTTGGAGAGAGCCAAACCAGCTGAGATTTAAAGAAATGTCATTTTCTATCCTGACCTGGGTAGATGGCTTGAAATGGTCAAGTGGCTCTTTCTGTGCTGTCACAACACATCAGAAAACGTGACAAAACCTGGGATAACTGTGCCCTCTCCTTAGGCTTAGCTGCCATTCAAGAACAGTTTTGCATCTCATGTAATAACAAATATTGTGCTCTGAAAAGGAAGCAGGTGGCCTCCATCAGGGCAGGCAAGGACAGTCAGTGTGTTGAGAGGAATTAACTTGAAGGTGTCAGCTTTGAAAAATGTGTTTTGTGAGATGAAAGCATTTGAACTAGAAAACATTGAAGGACTTGATGAATATTTTTATTTTCTCCTTGTGTATATAAAAATAAAAAGTAGGAGTTAAGATTATACAGGTAGAAAATCTGCATGATCAGGTTGCCTTAACACATTAACAGTATTTGTAGGTTAATCTTTTTTGTCAGTTCCTTCTGTCTGTCTCTCTTTTCTTTGTCTTATTTGTCTTAGGATGGTAGAAGATGTGATGTCTGTATGTTCTCTGTTGTAAGTAATTCTAAGCTAACAATTCAAATTTCCTCTTTGATTTATGGGCTTTTTAATTTTACTTATTTATTTTGCAGCATGATCAGTTATTATTCAGCATGCAGCTTTTATGTTAATGATTTCACTTCACTTGCACATATGAAAGCTATTTTAAGTAAGATGCCTGACTGTGATTGAGTTTGCCTCATTATCTGTTGCCTATCAAAGAAGATCCTCATTTAAAACCTATAGAAATTTTGTATCCTTGAGCTAAAATATGGAAGTTTTATTTCTACCACTGATCAACATTGTGCAATCAATTCCTTGTAAATACTGCATAAAATGCTTGTCTTTCTTGAAGGGAAAAGTTATCCTAATTAATTCTGTCATCATAACTGGATAATTAATGGCATTGAACACACCAATATTCAGCTGCCCAATTTATTTTCCTCTCTAGATGTGGTATTGATTTACCCTCTGCCCATTGAAACCCACCATTAGAATTTCTGGTGTCAGCTTTGCCATCATTGATCAGGGATGAGCTGGTGGGCTCAGTAATTTTTGCCACTGCATCTCTGTTCAAACTTGAAGTCTTTATCAGTGAGTTTGCTAGAGTATTTTTCTCTTTTTTTGGCTAGTAACATCAATAGTTTTGAATAACTCTAGCAATGTGCATCAAGAGAACAGACAGATAGTTTGTTCCTGGCTAGAAACTTAAGCCAATTTTTTAGCCAATTTTTAGCCAATTGTGAATAAAGGCAACATTCATAATTATATACCATCATGACATAATTTATATTCTTCATTCATTTTGCTTGACTGAAACCTGTGGGATTTTGGAGGGCTGCAGTGTCCGTGCTCCCAGTCTGCACTGTGAGGTGTCAGGGGAACTGGAAGCAGAATTGCCATATTTCTTGTTTTATTTGTTTTTAAAAAGGTCTGTTCTGCCCATTTGTAATGACAGCTCAGTCTTGCATCTGGGGAGCAGCATCTGATGGTTTTATATAGTTCATCTAAAGCAAACCAGGTTTTTTCTTCCTGGTTTTTGGGGTCATTGGAGCCTAAGTTTGTCACAGTTTTAACTCCCAGGTGAAGGTGTGGGTTAGACCTAATTTTGGGATGTGAAACTGAAGCAGACAGAAGCTGAATCATTTCCACAGGGCCCTGGAGGGAGCCTGTGGTGAGCAGGGATTTGAATTGCAGCTGAATTTGAAATGCAGTCTGCTCTGTGAATGTGTCAGGAGCTAGCATGAAAAATATGGCAATCCTGCTGCTCTCAGCTTTGGAGGGATGGAGGCCTGTTCCAAATGCATGACAAAATTATGTACCCATGGCATGGTTCTCTGTGGTGCTGCTTCCTAATGGATGGGATTTTAATGCAGAAGGGCTTACAGAGGTTGCATTGTCTGTGGCTGTCTCTTGCTAAGTGTGAAATGACCTGATTCTTGCTGCTGTTACCATATTAACAGTTTGAACTTTATTTTCAGTGATACATTTAGGGTGAAAAAATCACCAAAAAGATCTCCACTATCTGATCCTCCTTCTCAGGTAAATTGCTGCCTTATTAAAAGTTACATTTTGATGCATGTAATTTGTGTCCTTTAAGGGATTAAAAGAAGGAAATTTTATTAATTTAATTAGAATTGTATGTTTAATAACAGAAGATATTTTTGTTGTAGACCTGTAGTTTCAGTAATAGAGGGGATTTTTGTAAAAAATGTGCATAAGTCCCAAGTATAGGACATTAGGCTATTACCATAAAGCATTAACCTTTTGTCCTCTAAATACAATATATAGTAGATCTAGTATTTTCTCTGGGAATTCCAGCTAGAGTATTAGCTAATGTACTTTGGGAAGTCCTCTGTTAAGATGGAGCAAGGATATGAGTAAATATCTTCAGTCAGTTGTCTGAAAAACAAGACCATCACTATCCACTGGAATTTTTAGATTAGGAAGTAAGAAACTAAATGCATCAAATTGGTGGGTTGGAATGGAAATAGAAATAAACCAAGTGGGCTGATCTCCCAGGAGCATGTGCTTGGATAGCTTGATTCCATGTTGTAAACTGCTGGCAGGTGGTTTTCTTGGAAGAGAAGTTGACAAAAGCTGCTCTTCCACAAAGGCCTGACTGCTTTGATGTGGCACAGCTCCTTCCATGCTGGTGCTCCTCTTCCTGTTCTCCATCCTGCCCTTTTATTTGTGCTGCTTGGCATTGTAGAAGTGAAGAGAGGGGAAAGGGTTCATGACCTCGTGGCCCTACAAGGGTTTGCTCCTATGAGGGAAGCCTGAAAAGTCAGTTTTGGTAGTCGGGGATTTCAGTGGTGGGTGATGTGTGCCACTTGTGTCAAGTGCATAACAGATTTTAACAGCTCTGGATCTTCTTTCTTCCCTGTTATCAAAGCAGCTTTGCAATGCAAGTGTTTATCATCAAAGAGCTGATTTATACTGGGAAAACTTGCTGCTGGTAGAGTTAGTATTTTCCATTAAGTATTTTATACAACACTGCAGCAGAGATTATGGAATTAAAGAGATGGCTCTGGTGGTGCAGGGGAATTCAGAGATGGAGCTGTTCCATGTGTTAGTGAAAGATAATGGAATTAACTGGCTCTTGTTTGCTGCAGGATCCCACTCCACTGCCAACTCCAGAAACACCTCCTGTCATCTCCACGGTGGTTCACGCCACGGATGAGGAGAAGCTGGCGTCCTCTGTGACGGGGCAGAAATGGACCTGCATGACTGTGGACCTGAACACGGACAAGCAGGACTACCCTCAGCCCTCTGACCTGTCCACCTTTGTCAATGAGACCAAGTTCAGCTCTCCCACAGAGGGTACTGCTCCAGCCAGGGGGGTTTGCTGAGAGACAGGGCTTGCTTTGGCCAGGGATATTCTCTGCTGAATGCAGATTCTTACTGGGGAACCCTAAAAATGGTGCTGTGCTCTCTGGGCCGTTCTGGGGAGCATGGCAATTATGGGCAGCTGAATGTAAAACCCCAACAGGCCAGCCTTGAGTTTTCAGGGAAGAAAAGATGCTTAAAGGGAAATGAGAGGGCCTTCAGAGAAAGGTTTTGTTTCCTTTGTGTGATTGATTGTTCTTCTCTGTGAGCAGTGTGTTCTCTCTACAGGAGAATGGGGTGTGATACTGCTCCAGAGTCACTGAACTACTGATTCTGCCTGAGCCTGTTCCTTAACCTGCATGGGGAAAGGTCCCATGTTAAAATTCTGCTCAAATTTTCTGTATTGCAGTAATACCCATACCATGCCATCTCTCTTCCAGCTTCCTGGACTCCAGGATATCCCCTCTATAAGATAGTTGCCATTCATATTTCCAGATAAAATTCCCTACTAGGTCAACTATAAAAGTTTTTTCCTGCCATATTTTCCTATGAGCAACTGGGAGCTAAAGCTGGAAGTTTCTGTTTAGAGAACTGTCATTCCAGGTCTGTGAAATTTGGAAGGGACAGAATTAAGAAAATTTGTGTGTGGCCTTCCTTGGGGCTACCAGAGGGAATTCTGCTTTGCAACATCTGCTCCAAAGGCAGATGTTCAGCTTTGTGGGTGGGAAGCATGTTTGAGTTTAACTTGGCTTAAACTTTTTATTCTTGATTAGAATTCATTTTTCCCCCCAGCCTTTCAGCCCCTGTCCCAATCAACTATTAAATCTACTTTCTGCCATTTTAGGCTCGGTCCAAATTTATGCCTGATTAAAAACTTTTACGTCAAGGTGGTAGACATCAAAAAGCAACAACAGTCACAGTGCTTTTGTTGATATGCACATGCTTGTATGCCCTGGGCTTTTCTGAAATCTGTTGAGTATTCTAAACAAATAAGTATTTCAGTCTGGATGAATTCATTTGTCTTTATTATCAAAGCATAAATTGTAGACATTGACTTCCCTGAATTTGTATTTTAAAAAATAACTTAAAAAACACTTTTTATAAAATAATCTCCCCTAAATCTGGCAAGATGGAAACTATATGAAAGAAAATGGAACAAAAGAATAGTGAGAGACACTCTGAAACAATCATTTTAGCTTTCAAAGTGGGTAGAAGAAAGTGAGCAAAGCTCCTAATTAAATGGTAATTGTCTTGTCTCATGTGTGCTGCATGATACAGTCAGGGTTTCAGATTACACACTCATTATAATCAACAATGCTTCTGCTTTTCATATCTCTTAAAAATAATAATTTTTTCTCTTTGACAGTCTTGCTCCTGCAGCTTTGAGAAATTTCTGAGCAATTTGAGGGCTGTTTCTCAGTGTAGATATTTTTACCTCTCCCAGACACCCGTGTGTTACCCTGTAACCTGACACTGCTTCTGTACAGATACAGCCCAGCTCCTGAGCCAGCCAGTGCATCCAGCCCTTTTCTGTGTCAGGCACTGCCTGTAGCTGCTGCCCTTTTCCTGTTGCACAGACCCGAAATAAGCTCTAATTATTAGCAGAAAATTCTGATGTAATCTTGCAGCTATTTGTAGGAGGAGTTGGAGGACATCACTTAGTAAGTCTGTTGTACGTGTTTATAAAAGATAATTATCTTGCTTAGTGGGATATCCTGGGCTTTTCTGATGTTGAATGTACAGAGATAACTACAGCCTGAGATTTTGGAGGGGAGATGATGTCTGAGAGGAGAGAGAGAGGAATTGTGCTGGAGACTCCTGAGAGCAGTGAGACGAAACAAACTGCGTTTAGCCAGCCGCGTTATTCCTTTTGTTTCTACTTGGGCTATTTCCATCTGTGTCCTGCCTGGTTTTTGGTTGCTTTTTTGTTTGTTTTTTTTTTTTTTTTTTTTTTTGTCAGCAGTGAAGTGAAATGTGTGTTGTCCCAGCAGTCAGTTTGGATTGGGCTTGCAGGGCTGCTGGCAGTGCTGCAGGCAGGTGGAGGATCCCTGTGGCTGTGCCAGCAGAGGACAGTGCCGGAACGTCTGCTGCCCCCGAGGCTGCCTGGACACTCAGGGTTTGCTCTCTGGAGCATAAAGCTGCTCCATAAATGCTCCTGATGCACCTCACTGGGCTGTCTGTGCCTAAATGGGGTACAGAGAGGCAGTTTCTAAACACTTGCTGCTCTTACCTGGGATTTCAGGCTTTCTCCTGCAGTTCAGCTCCTCGCAGAGGGTTTGAATTCATCCTTCCAATTTGGATTTTGCTTTCGCTGGGAAAAAAAAGTGAATGAGAAAGGCTGCTGCTGGTATCTGACACCAGGAGGTTGTCCATCTTGCCTGGTTCCTTATTACCATTAAAAACATGTGGTGCTAGGAATTTCAACATGAGGAGCCTGCTATTACAGCTTTACTCTTCACTTACAGATTTTACTGTGAACATTCCCAACCAGTACTGAGGGCTTGTGGCTCCTCCTCTTCAGTGGTTGTTTGACAAAATATGTAGTTTGTGGAATTACAGTCCTTGTGCAGTGTTTTTTATTACTAAAAAAGCAAATCAAGCATTGTAACATGACATTGAACCCTCTAAAACTTTCTTCATCAACACATCAGGCTAGAGATTCTCTTCAGGATTGTTTGTTTTTAAACATCAAACATTTTAATGGTGGTTATCATCTTCTTAATGCAAGCTCTATTTTTCAAAAGCTGCCCAAATCTAGAAGGATTTTAGCACATGATTTTATGATAATGCAAATGCTAGTGTGCATTTCCTTAGGATTTATTTGGAGTGGGAATCAAATTATGCAAGTGGTTTATTGGATTAAATCATGGAAACAGAACAAAGTACAGCATTTGGATAAATTAATTATGCATTTAATTTTAAATTAAGTTGTCGTTGTGGGAAGTTTGCTTTTATTTGAGTGCAGGAGGATGTGATCTCTTTTCCTGTGTTAGATTTGTCTGCTTCTATATCAGCTACTGCGTGACCACAGACTGGGGAGAAATGCTGGTTATTCCCCCCAGTGTAACTGGGAGATTAGAAGCAGAGAAGCAGTGAAGATTTGCATTTTTATTAAATTTTAGACTTAGGGTTCTTTGTAAATCTTCCTGCCTTAGACTCTTTCTCTGAAAACAAAATGTGAGAACAGCCCCATAAGCTGGGCTGGTGCCTCACCCCTGGTTCATGAGCACTCAGGTATTTTAGGTTCCTTTTTCTTCACTGATAGCCCAGTAGTTGTTCTGAATTAAGAGTGTGATAAACATGAAAAAAATAGAAATTATTTTTTCTCAACAGCTGTTAAAATATGTTTAAAAGAAATTGGCATCAGCATTGCCATTTATTGAAAAAAATGTGTTTTCTGTGATAAGATAACATGATAGGGGAAAGTTGCCTGTACTCTGAAATTACTCTGAAACCTTCTCAATATTCTGGTCCCTGGGGCAAATTAAAAAGCTGATTTTTTTTTTCTGGCAAGCTGATTTGCCTGTAATGTGTCAGGTTCATTGTTGAAAATGAGTGAATATTAACACCTTTTACTTTCTCTCTGTATAATCTATTTTTAATATGTCATTGGAAAGTACTGAGCAGAGTGGGAGTGGCCCCTGTCAATGAGAAGATCTCTCATTTACTTCTGAAAAAAAATCATGTCATGGCATGTATTAACACCTCTTTTCTTGTTTCTGTTGCAGAATTGGAATATGGCAACTCATATGAAATAGAATATATGGAGAAAATAGGCTCCTCTGTGCCTGTAAGTTCTCACCTCCATTTCCATTCATTTGCATTCCCCTGTCAGAATATACTACCCTGGTAATGCCCTCAGCCTCACCACCCTTTAAATTAATCATAATGTGCCTGCAGCAGATTTGCAAAGCCAGTTCCTTGAAATTGGCATAACTGGGGTAAATTGCCTGTGCTTTGTTGTCCTGGGTCCTGTAAAGCTTGTTCCATTTCATGTTTTTATTTCTAAGCTAGCATCATAGTAGTTTTCTCTGGAGATTCAAAGCCAATCAGTATTTCCAGCAGTTCAGAGTGCAGAGCTGTCTACACCAACTGCTGAACTCTTTAAGAAATTTGGAGTAAAAGTTTGAAGAAGCTGGAGGGAACCAGGAGAGAAACAGAATTAGTGTGAGGTCTGGAATGCTGCACTGTACATTATCCCTTTTTTCACCTTCTTTTTAATCATGGATTTGATAGTCTGACTGGATCCAGTGAGGGGATATCCACTGGGGACATTAGGAAAATCGCTCAGGTGGTGCTGTGGTGCTTAAAGCAATGAGAATATTCAGTGGATATTTTAGTAACACCCTCAGCCAAGGGGTGCCTCCTGTCTGACAGAACCAGAAATCTGATTAACCCCAAACTGGGAGAAGAAGAGCCACTACGAAGAGTGAACTGTTTAGGTTTTGTCCTTTAATGGTTTCTTCCTGGGAGCATCCATCTCAGTATCAGCATTACAACCCTGTATTATTAGTTTTCTGTCAACTCATTTGCTCACTAAAGGCTTCAGTGACCTGAATTATCTTTAGTGGAGAATGGTTGAATTGCTTAATGAGTTTCTCTTTCCCTGTGGCCAGCAGGATGACAGCACCCAGAAGAAGCAGTCCTTGTACCTAATGTTTGATGCCCAGCAGGAGAGCCCAGTGAAATCACCTCCCCTCAGATTGTCTGACTCCACAACTCCCTGCTCAGGGTAGGTCACAGTGAGCAGTGCAGAGCTGTCAGGGGACTGGGTTCCCCTCAGAGCACACACACAGGAACTTCTTCCTCTCTCTGCCTCTGTGCTGCCAAGTTATTTGTTTAAAAATAGATCCCCATCTGTGCACACATATGATAGAGAACAGAGGGCAAAGAGACACAAGTTTCATGGTGGAATAAGGACATGGATTTCTCCTTCACATTCTAACTAAATAATCACTGTGGCAACTGGTTTACTGAGTGGTGGCCTCCTACTTAAAGCTCTTTCCTCACATACTGAGGTAATTTCCACATTAATCTAGAAATCTGTTAGTTGCAGGTTTTTTTGGTTTTCCCTGGATACATTTTCTGAACAAGGGCTCTTGTTCATAAGACCAGGATGTGGGAATTGTGTTTACTTCCAATAATTTTGCTTGTCATGGACATCTGTTCTTGTGAGTAAGAGATGTGTTTTGGGAGAGAGGTAGGTCACAGTGAGAAAGGGGTAAAAAGGCAAGTGAGAAATACTGAAGAAACGTGACATTTCTGATGGAACTGGTTTTATTTTGATGTCTCCAGTGCATTGTTTTGAAAGGATATTTCAAAGCGTTACGAGATATAATGATGTAAATTTGAGCTGAAACAATGTGTATATAAATATATTTTTATATACACACATACACATGAAAGTGATAAAGAGGGCTTGCTCAGCTGCTACCAGAAGCAGAATTGTGGAGCTGAAAACATGTACACAATCTTTTTCCAGGTCGAGTTTTGAAGACCCCGAAGCCCAGCAGTCCTCGGGCATGAAAATCCCACACCCAGCGTCCCGAGTCCTCGCTGCCAGCCAGGAGGCACATCTACAGTCCCCTGACAAGGCCAAGCAGAAGGACCTGGAGCCCATGACTCTGGGAACAACTCCAGAGACCATTGAAATCGTGAGTGCTGTATGATAATGGCTTGGGAATCTCTTCCTCCAGAAATTCTTCATTTTGCTTTTGGCCCGAACAACTCGGGCCAAGTCTCTGTTGCTTATTCAGCCTCGTCTTTACCTTTAAGGCTTCTCCTGAAGACTCCTTTGTCTCTGCTGATGCTCTTCTCAATAGGATATCTAAGAAAGCCTCATTATGTGATCAGCCTGAATATCTAGATCCTGACCTGGCAGAAAAGAACCCCCCAGTATTTGCTCAGAAACTTCAGGTTTGTAGCAGAAATATAAATGTCCTTTTGTTTCTCTTTGTCCATACACAGGCAAAGGAATGCTTTGCCTCATCTGAAAGGGGTCGAGGGAGGTTTGGAGGGCATGTGGAAAAGAATTAAAATCATTATTTAATTCTTTCCAAAGTAACTCTCCCCTTTCAAAGACTTGAGGAACAAAGATATTTTCATTTAACTCGTGTAATTCATATAACACATAACCTTAAATTTCATCAACACCTATCCTATGGACCTCTAATGTATGTATTTTCCAGAAGTCTTTTCAAAGCAAATTATTTTAAGCTTGAGCACAGGACTTGATGTGTGGAGAGCTGTCTTGTCACCTGGCCTTAGTAAGTCTCTATGTATAGATTCATTTTTTGAGATTCAGGACCTAATTCTGCTGAAATGAAAATCAGGGTTTGTTTTTCTCGTAATTTCTCTAATGCAGAATTTGGCATGGTTTCTTCTAGGAAAAGCAAATGGATATGCAGAGCAGTTCTGTATCTCAGGACATATTTTCTGGAATATTTACTGTGAAATTTTAAAAAAGGAAAGGTTGAACTAAGGTTGACATGTGGCATAAATTCACATAAAATGGAAATGAAAGGGAGAGGAGTCTGTGATAAAACAGCTTTAGCTTCAGAAATAATTTTTTTTACATGAAGTATTGTTCATACTGATTACCTAATACAAATTATTTTTCTGCACAGCTACCTCAAAACTAACCAAGCCCTGGAGTTTTGCATCACAGTCCTCACCATGAGAGGAATTTGGGGCGTTTGTCACCCAGGAATTGTCTGAGTTACACGTTAAAATTTAACAACCCATTTTTGAGTGTGTCAGACTTTTCTTACCATGTTCTCACCGCATTTTTTTCCCTGTGGGGGACTCCCCCACCAAACCCTGTGACAGGAGGAGCTAGAGTTTGCTGCCATGAGGATAGAAGCTCTGAAGTTAGCCAGGCAGATTGCCCTGTCCTCCCTGCGCTCCAAGGTACCTGCTTTGTGCCTGCCCTGTGTGTGTGAGTGTGCACAGCCCGGGTGCTGCTTGTCCTGGGGGGACACCAGGAGCATGCTGGCAGCAGAGCTGACACAGAAATGCTGTCACCCCACTCACACCCCAGTTAACAACAGGCAAGAAGCAGCAGCGTTCCTGCAGCAGGAGATGGATTCTGCAGCCCAGGTAGTGGTTGTCATTTCTCTGAAGCAAGATTTGTCCTGAATTGTTTGATGGTGAAGAGTACCAGGCCTGCTTTGGCCATAAGGACATTTTGTGTTCTGATAGTATTTTCAGTTTGAAGTCAGACACCTTTGAGCCTCAATGTTTGGAAGGGAAGAAATCAGTCAACCTTGCCCTGAGGCATCTGAAGAAAGGGACTGCAGCAGGGTTGGAAGGGCTACAGAGCTCCCAAGGAAAAAAAGCCTTACATCACAATGTGTCTTTATTCATAAATATCTAAATCTTATTTTTTTTCAATGCTACTTCCAGGTCCTGCTGGTTAGTTGTGCCTCACAGTGATGCTTTGCTCTGCTGTAGGGATGCACGTGGAACTCTCTGTGTTTGGAAAGCCAAAAAAGTCATTCCATAAACGTTGGTGGCTTTCTTGGGAAAGGGTATCAGCTGAATGGATGGCAGTGTCCTGCTGCAGTGAGACATCTCATTCCAAATGAGGAGAATGTGCTTCTGACATGCCCTTCTCCAGTAACCTTCCTCTTGTACTGTCCGTTAATAGGTCAGCAGAAAGTCCTTTGGCAATCCTAAATTGTCTGGAGTTCATTGCATCACAACAGCATTTGGGCTGGTTTCAGGGCTGGTTTTCTTGGTGCTTTAAAGATCAGCTGCATCATAAAAGTGAAGATTTTTTTAAGATTACCTGTGCTCCTCTGGAAAAACAATGATCATATTTGATTTATCTCACACACCTTAAAGCCCATAAGTCACCTTGTTTCTCCTGTGCACATATATTTTCTCAGGTAAACACATTCCTCACAGATTTAAGAGTATTTTAGAGTATGTGGTTATAATCTTTTATTTAATTAAGAAAAACATGCTGTTGTCTTCATTAGAAGGACTAACCAAGCTGAAACCTGTAATGAGGAACATAAAGAGCAAAGGAGAAAAAACAAAAATAATTTTCCTATGTGTGACTGTGTCCCCTTGCTCTGCTGTCCTGAATTTCAGGTGTTGGAAGAGAATGAGGTGAGATCCTCTCTAGATGCCCTCTACCTCCTTATTCTCTCTCAAATTCCTTGTCCTCCCAACACTTTGCTGGAACATGAAGGATTCAGGACCTCCAGCATCAGAAAACACCTGAGATGAAACACATAATATTACATAGATGTTCTTCTGTTTAAAATCTGCATTTCTGCAACCAGCCAGCTGTTCAGAAACTCACAAATTGTACTATTTTAGACTGAAGAGAATGCATTTGTGTGCTTGTGAGTACTTGTGAGTTACCTATGGGAGATTGAGAGCTGCAGAAGTTTTACAGAATGCCGGGTTACATTTTAAAGATGCTGTTCAGCATCATCACAGCACCTTGTTTTGTTGGAACAAGTTTTGAACTCCTTAGAAGTATGGAACGGATTTCATGTGACTATTTAGAAAATGTCACTAATGTGTGTAATAAAGATAACAAAATGATAAGCAGAGGTGAGGAGAGAAAAACAGGCAGAACTCCCCGCTCTGACAGAGAACTGGCAGCAGTTATCGATGATGACAGTGCCCCATGTTGGTCCAGGCACAGCAATGCTCGTAGGCCATCACCATGGGTGTCATGTTAGGCTGGGAAGGACTTTTGTCCTTGCATGGCTTTGCTATTTCAGTGTTAAATTAGCCTGTGATGACACCCCTTGTGACCTACAGTGACTGATGGCCTGGATTAAGCAGAACAGAAACCAGCAGATGACTGCAGTGACTTAAATTTGGATGCTGCTGGCAGAATTCCCTTCTGGATGGCTGGCCTCTGTTATTTTCTGGATGCTATATAATTACATTTAACATTTGCTAAATGATGACTGAGTGGGTAACAAGAATAGGATGATAAATAAAGACAGAAACACTTGTTATGATTAGATCACCTAAAACGAAGATTAAATATAAGCACTTTGTGCTGGCACTAGGAGTGGGAATAAGGATGTGCAGTGTGTTGTTCTCAGGCAGAGAGGAGTTATTTGGCCACTCCCAAATTTCTTGTCACAGACTTAAACAACAGCAGGCCCAGTCACCTATTTTTACATTGACAAGTATTTCTGTCTTCCAGTGCTGAGGTAAATGAGCTATTTTCTGTTGAACAGTCTCCATTTGGATGTTGTGAGGTAATTTCTTGTGTCCAGCACCTGTGAGTGCTGAGATAGGATCCAAGGAAAATAAAAACTAAAAGGAAAGGCATGGGCAAAAATGAGATTTGTGCATTACAGCTCTGTGGGCCTCTCATGGCAGGAGGAGGATTATTTCCTTCAAACAGCAATGCCATTGATTTTAGCAAAACTTTACAGGCAGAAAACTTCTGCTTGGGTTTTCCTTGCCTTTCCATGTATTTGCAAGCACAAGTAGGTCTCACTTTGCCTGCCTTGACCGGTCTGCTCACACACCAATCAGAAGAATCCATCATTCCATGCACACCCAGGCGGCTTTTCAGGGAAAGGGCAGCCTCATTTCCAACAGGGCTAAACACACATTCCTCTAACTGCTGGGATAAAAACTACTTTTCATTTTCCTTCCATTTCTCTATTTTCTTCCTCTCTGACCTCCTGGAAGTGAGATAGCTGCAGCTGGTTAATAGATGTGCATTTGTTTCCCTTCTGGTCAGATATCTGGTTTCTGTGAAAGGTGCTGGGAAGAGAAGCATATTGGGCTCTCAGATATTTACACTGAGATTTCAGTGACCTACATTTTGTAGTAATTCCCCTGAAGACTCTAATCTTTCTGTGCGAGGTTTAGTGACTTACAAATCCCTGTGATGATTATTACCCCAATTAACTGCTTACCTTCTCAGCAATGAGGTGTTAAAGCATTATTATTGGGTTATTTTGGGTAACACCATCATCTTGTTGGTCAGGTGTTGTTATTTTCTCAGGGCAGGAATATTTTGCAGGCAGCAAATAACAGTTACTGAGTCATATGCATCAGTTAGGAGCTGTGTAAAATTGGCTTTTGAAGTAAAACCATGAAGACTTTTACTGGTTACTCCTGCCAGAGATCCCAGCTGTGACTTGTGCAGGGTGTTTGCAGAATTAGGGCAACACTGCTTGGACCACTGCTACAAGCATTCCTGCTCAGTGGTTAAATTCCAAGAGTTTTTATGGTCATTTTTTTGAAATTTCAAGCTGTTCTGCATGTCATCATTGCTATTGTTTTGTACATTTTCATCAAATGCAAAGAGAGCTAGAGAAAACATAGCTGTATTAATGATCTGTTGTGCACTATATAAAAATACCTATAAGTACATACTAAATGCTCTAAATATCTTTTTCTTTAAAAAATGTCATCCTCACAGCAGTTACTTTGACATGTTTTTATATGAGCTTGAAAAACGTTTGTGTTTCTTCTTGGCACAATGAATATTTTCCAGCAATCTCTTTATGAGATCCAGCAAATTAAGCTGCAGGAGACTTTTGAAATGTGACAGATGCAGTTCAACAGATCGATCTGAGGGGTGGCCTTTCTTTGGAGGACAGCTTTGATGATCTAATGGCTTTCTTTTATCTCTCAGTTATTCCTGCTTTGTGATTAAGGAGGGAGTAAAGAACCTTATAAGAACCTTTTTTGTTGTATTTGTGCATTTACAGAGGTGTCTGAGCTTGTGTGCCAGATGAATTTTTGTCCTATGTAGTTGTTTTACGTTGGGAGATACTTTTAAGAGCACGGGCTATGCAGTTTTGACAGATCTTGGAATGGATTTTTTCCTCAGAAAATCCACTGAGTTTGAGCTTGCACCTCTTAATTCTGCTGGAATTGATCATTATTTTGGGTGTTCATGTTAAAGGTAGCAAAAACAGAGAAGGGATAGCCTGCTCCATAAATCCCAGAAGAGTCAATTGACTCTTAGGTGTAAAAACAAAAAATACCAATAAATTAGTGAGAGTCTGCTGTAAATGAAGGTGCAGTGAGGTGTTCTGTAAGTACTGTTTAGGTTATTCTTGTTCTAATTCAATTTTCTTGCCTAGTCTTTTAATGTTGTTAGTGTTTCTTCGTGTTCTTTACAGCTGTGATATCCAGAACATCTGGTCCTAAGTGCATTGTGTACAATTTTTAATACAGCTTCTTCAGTCAGGTGTGATACAAGAACTCACAAGGGATTACAACAAAATTAGCAGTGAGTTTGGATGCTTTCTGTGATGCTGGGCAGTGTGAGAAGAACTGTGAGGAGGTGAATGTTTTGTGGAATAGCATCTGGCAAAGTTTCCTTTAGCAGTGCTGAGACAAGAATATGTGATGTTGAAATTAATGAGGACTGAACCTTGATCCAGACATTATCTACTCCTTTCACATCCCTGTGCTTCAGTCACTGGAGTGTGATTCTGCTATTTTCTTTTAAAAAAGGATAAACAAAACAACTTAAACAAAACCACACCACCCTCTTTTACAAGAAAATACAAGAAAATAATTATTTTCTCTTTTATGTAAAAAAATATTTGAAATACTCTTGATTACTACTCTTAATTATTGCAGATAAAGCCTAAAGACTTAGGAACAGCATTAGTGAACCTCAATGAACAGAATACGTTGTTTTAATGTACAAAGTTAACAGGTAAACTGGGAAAATACATTATCCCCTTTTCAGCAGCAAGGAAAACAGGATTTGAATATCCATTTCCATCAGTGAATGGAAAGAGGCATTGATCAGTGTGACTTACCTCCCCACTCATGCTCCAGCCCTTGTGGTGGGGGCTTGGCAGTGCCCAGAGCAGCTGTGGCTGCCCCTGGATCCCTGGCAGTGCCCAAGGCCAGGTTGGACATTGGGGCTGGGAGCACCTGGGACAGTGGAAGGTGTCCCTGCTGTGGCAGGGGTGGCACTGGGTGGGATTTAAGGTCTCTTCCATCCCAAACCATTCTATGGACTATCCTTTGGAATCTCCTCAGTTTTCATGTGCTGTAGCTTGGGTTGTTTGCATCAAGAGTTGTTTGTGAGACATCTCCTGCATCTCGGTGTCACATTCCTGTTCTTTGCTCTCCTCATTTCACATGCTGCTCTCCCTTATTTAATCTGGGCTGCTGACATGAGCAGAATTGACAACTGCAAAAAAAGCCTCATTTAACTGACTAATCGCATGCTGGACACCAGTGGGGCAGCAGTGCCACCTGCATAGTCACACTTTTTCTGTGGTATTCTTTATGCTAGATGCCATGTATTGACAGGCCAGACCTAAGAAAGTGAGCTGTCCTCTTGCTTCTGGTTCCTTGATTTATTTTTATGGAAGCAGAATTCCCCTTAACAAGCTTTCTGCCTTCAAATCTGATTCTTCCTGCTGACATGCATTTCTTGTGGATGTTGTGGTGAAAAACAGTATATTTTATAAAATAAGACTTTAAAATATTGATAGCAAAGTGCTGTCTTTATTTTCTCTCTGTAAAGGTAATATGACTCTCATGGTGCTTCTTATGGATCTCAAATGTATATTTTATGATTGCTGAATTCAGAGCTCCTTGTTTGTGTTGTAATTTAGACTAGAAGTCCTAGCACCACACCCAGATAACCCATGAGCTAAACACCTAAATAATGGTTTATTTCTTTGTATTTAAAAAAACAAACCCACAGAGAGAACCTGCTGTCCCAGCAGATGTTTCCATCTCCAAAAGTGCTCTGTACTCCCGCATCGGTGCCTCAGATGCAGAAAGCACCACGGCTCTGCTCTACCCCCAGCAGGACCTGGACTCTGCACTACGACTGGCCAGGGCAGAGGTAACTTGGGAAAGGAAAAACCTGCCCCTTGCTGTTCCCTTCTTGCCTGTTTTCTCCCAAATGTGATCACTCATTCTGTTCTTGGAGCCATCCTCGGCCACGCTAAAGCAAAAGGTGCCACACTGCAAGTTTTACTTGTTTTACAGATGTGAAAAGCAGATATGATGTAAACACAAATCTTTATGGTTTTAAACCTCAGGTGTGCACTGTGCATCTTGACATTGCTATATAATCATATAAAAATATATGCTGCTTGAAATAGGAATAAAATTATGTATTTTACAAAGCTATGTATCATATTAGTGTGGCTAGCAATAGCAATGAATAAATGGGTGTAATCCAGGGGGGTTTATTCCCTTTGTTTTCTGTTTCAGATTGTGGCCAAGGACAGGGAAGTATCTGAGTGGAAAGAGAAATATGAAGAAAGCAGAAGGGAAGTGATGGAAATGAGGTGAGTTATTAACTTGATCAGTCTGTCAGAGATGAGGCTTCATCTCAGCCTGACAACAGAGTACCATGCTCATACAATTGTTCACCTTAGCTTTATTTTTAACTTAAGGCACTGCACTGATCCTGAACTGATCCTTTGTCTTTTCTCTGTATGAGGGGCACCACTATTCAGGGTAATCACTGAAAACTTGTGTGTTGCTGATCTCATTCACACCCTCAGAATACTGAGATATAAGGGAGGTTTTACTCCAGGTTAATGCCAGGGAAGGAGTTCCTCTGGTTTGTGTGTGAATTCTCACTGGGATTGCATGGTGAGGTTCCTGTTGCAGACTGGATGAGTTGCTGCAGAGCTGGCAGGGGGGTGCACATTAAATGTACATTAAATTCACTTCTAGTTCTACTTGGAAAAAGGAAGGAATGTAGGAAAGAACATGCAGGTTTGCAGTAGTACAGGCTGCCTCCAGGACATCATTGTGAAGTTGTTCAACAATAGTAATCAAACCAGTGTCAGTAGAAAAGCATTTCTTGTAAAGGAACCACTCTGGACTATCAATGTTGGCTTTTAGGGAGATTCTACACTCTTTTCTTTGAACTAAGATGATTTTTTTAATTGCTGCACACACTAAGGTTGATTTTAGTAAAGCAATAGTTCTCTTGGCTTTTGCTCTCTTGTTCCCTTTGGGAGCTGACAGAAGGACCTGGAGCTTTTCAGTTTGTTCTGGTTGTATCTGTTCTATTTCTGTGCCAGCCTACCTCTGTTACATTAAATATCTGTGCACTGGGACATGGTTTGATCCTCCTCTCCTGCCCAGGTCCTACCACTTGCAAGGATGACAACAAAATCCCTGTAATGGATGATGTGAGCAGTGCTGCTCAAAGAAACTGATGCCTTCCATTCAGTCAGTTAAAAACCTTTCAAGCTTTCAGCTTTTTTTTCTTTTCAGTTGGTAGGACCATAAGGAGGACAAAAAAATGAGCTTGGCTTGCTCATTGATCTGAATCTGAGAAAGCCATCAATTGCAGAAGAGAGTGTATAAAATACTTCATGGAGTCTTTAAAGCTTATTATTTTCTACCTTCCAAAACCAGAAAAAATGGTCCCCCCTCTTAACTAATAAAAAAAAAGGAAACTGTCACATTATTTTAGCTTCCCTCTTTTAAGTAATAATTTCTACAAATCACTTCTGAGACTGAATTTTCTTTAAAATCCCCTCTGTTCTAGCACCAGCTTCTTCCCAAAATGCAGAGTTTCAGTGATTTAAAGCTAAACTCTGTATCTAGTGATGACCTACATAATCAATCACTTATATCCAGGAAAACTGTGCTTAGGGAGGGAGAGTAGAAGGGAGCTGCAGTGCAGAGCTCCACAAACGCTTGCATGGATGCCAGGAATTGCACATGGCAGATTGGAGTAGCAGCAGCACGGGGCTCTGAGCCAAAGCATCTTAAGAGAAGCATCTGCAAAAGGCAAGGGCAGCCTCTCTATTTCTTTTTTGCCACCTCCCAGTGCCCAGCTGAGTTCTCTCACCTCCCTTGTGCTCTGCTGGGATGGGGAACAAAGCCCTGGCATAGCCCTGAAATGCTTAATGAGGAGCAACAGAACGGAGTGGCTGTGAGCAGTCAGACCCAGGGAGCCAAACAAGGAGGGAACAGAAGGAGGGATTGTGAGGAATGTCTCAGTGTGCAGCTCACACTCGAGTGTGGTGCTTGGTCTGCTCTGTGTCGGGGTGCACGTGGCTGCTGGCTGCCAGTGGGCACTGCCAGCCTTTTCCCTGATGGAAGGAGAGCCAGGGGTGACACGGAGCAGCTGCACCTTCATCTTCCACACAGTAATTTGCTTGTGTGTGTCTCCACCCTCCAGAAAATATGATTTTAAAAAAAAACTCACAGTAACCAAGCCAGATTTCCCACAGGCACATGCCTGGAACGTGTGGATGAAAGGAAAAAAAATCTGGCTAATATTGTCACAAAATGATAAATACACATATGTGCACCAAGATAAGATTTCTCTTGGAAGTTGAAATGTTCAAGCAGTCCATGTGTGGTACATTAGAGATGCAGCAATGAGATATGACACAATGATAAGCAGGGAGTGAAGGGATTATTTAGAGCTGCAGGCACAAAAGCATTACTTCCCAGAGAAGGAGAAGCAATGCTCCTGTACCCGTGTACTGCATAGTGTAGCTGGAACATCCTGAATTCATCTAAATTACCAGGAAAAGATCACTTGGAGGAAATTCCACTCCAGAGAACAGAAGGCAGAATGAGAGGTTTAATAATGCAGTAGCTATCAAAGAGCTGAACCAGAGTGGCTGTACCATAATCCAGGAGTCTAACCAGAGGCAGGCAAGAAATACTTAATTATGGTTATTTGGAGGTATGATTGATCATGACTCTGTAAGGGGAGTCAGGCAGATGACCTCTGAGGCCCTTTGTAGCCTTAGATTCTGGTGGTTTTATGCCTTACAAATGTGCAGTCAGTGAATGGACTGAGTGTCTCAAACAGCAACATTTAGGCCTAAGTAATGAATGTGTCAGCCTGGGGTTAGGATGTGCCCTCCCAAAGAGGGATGATGTGGCAGAATCCTTTGGTTCCCCAGCTGTAATGACCATTATTTAGGCTGCTGGACTGAAAGAGGCCTTTGACATGAATCTGGAGCAAATCCTTCCCTGGGAAGTGCTGCAGTGTTGTAATGTTGTGTTCCTTACCCTGAGTACCCTGAGTCCTTGGCTTCCTCTTCTTGGATGATAAAACTTCCCAAAGGTGCCTTGTGTCACAAGGACATGACAAAGCTTTAAAATCCTCATTGCTTACAGCAGGCTTTTGAGGTAATCTGCTTTGGACATGAAACCAAACCCTTCCTTTTAGGGCAAAATCCTTGCTGTTATCTTTGCTCTCCAAAGCATCATTTGTGGTTGAAAGGAAAAATCCCAGTGCTGGGGTTAGAGCCCTGCTCTCTGAGTGCTCTGCAGGACCAGGGCAGGGGAGATGCTGCTGACCTTAGGGCCAGGTGACCTTCCCAGGGCTTTGGGCTCTGTCTGTGATTCAGATTTGAGGCACTTCTGGAGTTGCTATCGTTGATTTTTGGGAACTCTGCAAGTTTCTCCTTTCCTTACTGACTTTTATTCCCACATCCTTTCTGTAACCTCCCCAACTGCAGCAGAGCTTTGAAAATGGAGCAAGTGAAAGTGAGTTTCAAAAGAGGTGGATTCCAACTCCAGTGAGCTGTTTGGAATATTCACTTCTGATGAAGTGTGGGGTAATTTTGTTTTTTGTAGACGGTTTTGCGTGGCTCATGAATCAAAGCACAGATCAAGCTAGTCTCATTTCATTAGCTTTATTTGGCTCTGGGAAGGGATGGATCATCTTTCTAAATCACATTTAATCTGCTTATTTTGGCTAACCTCTTTTCAAGAAGGAAATTCAAAGCCTACCATGAGTATACGAAATAAAACGGTCTTAAAAGTAGAATTTTGCCACCTCTGCTTCAAAAACAGATTTGGGAAATGGGACATGATGGATTTTGTGCTACATAGTTGAATATTTTGATCTTGTTCTTTCAAGTGGTAGTGAATCATTTAATCATGAGAAGATTCATTTAGAAGATGAGATACAATTTGGATGATAGCCAACACTACTGTTAAGTTTACTTGCTGCCAATTATAAGTTTGCTTAAGTTTATATTAAAAAGAAACCAACACAAATTTGGAGAAGAGGGGAGAAAGTAATGGAAACATCAGGCTCTTTGTAATACTTGGGTTAGGCCAGTGTTTATAATCATGATGGGTGATGTTTCAAAAAACAGAATCTGTTTCAAAGCAATCTCTTCTTGCTCCCCTCACCTTTATGGATTCCCATGGAGAGTTAAAAATCAGGTGCAGTGTTAAAATTGTCAGTTTTATTTGTTATTTGGGCAATAAAGACATGTAAAAGTGTGATGGGATTCTGTACCTCTTTAAAGCACCACAGTTCAGTTTCTGATAAGTGCCATTTGGTAAGTAAGCATGAGCAATGATGTTGTTTGCCAAAATTTTTCTTTTTTTTGTTTTCCCCTCTTACAGAAAAATAGTTTCGGAATACGAGAAGACGATTGCTCAGATGATAGGTAGGTGTTCCTGCTGTGAAAGGTGCTCCCTGGTTGGAGTCTGTGGGCTTCATTTTGATGCTGGCTGCATCTGCTGATGCTGCAGGGAATTGTGAATGCATCTGAGGACACCAGGAAAGGAAAAGTCAGGGCCTTGTCTCACAGCCAGCAGCCCCCGGGCAGTTCAGGTAACACAGAGAGCTCAGGGCTTTCCCTAGGAAACAGGTTCGAATTCATGGGTTTCTCCAGGAGAGACTTTCAGTGACCTAAAAACCCCTTAGGCATCAGCTCACAGCTGTTTAAAGGCAGATACCAAAGTTAGCTCTTCACAGCAACAGGGATTATCTGTGCTAAGTGCATTGATCGGACCAAAACCAAGATTAACTCCAATCCCAGCTGGGACCTTCCAGTGCCCAATCCACCCCCCAGTTAACTTACTGACTCAGGGGTCTCCTTTCAAGTCTAAATTGTGACAAGTTTTGCCTCTCAGTAATTAAAAAACACCTTTGCTAACAGCATGTCTCACAGATAAAAACCTCTACCCTCGGTAGCACTCCAAACCCAAAGGTTGCAGGGCTCGTGTGGTTCCTCAGCCCCTGGGATGTGATTTTAAAGCCTCCTCTAAGATTTCTAAAGCTCTTTTTATTAGTCTGGCTGTAGCAGGCACAAGCACCAGTGCCTTGTGCTGCCTTGTACTGCTTCAGCTCCAGCTGTTTCCCAGAAAGGCAAATGGCTGAGTGGAATTTTGGGGTCTCCAAGGCCAGAGGTGCTCAGAAGAGCACCAGTGGCTGGTGCTTTTGCTGCCTTCCTGGATTTCTTGGCCCTTGGGAGACATCCAAACCTCTTTTCAAGTGAAGAGTAAAGTGCATCTACAAATAAATTTTATGAGAATGACAACTATAATAAATAAATTAACGAAATATATATAATAATGAATAATAAACACTAATAATATGCCAGGCTTCATTCTCTCTGGTATTATGCCTCCATTGCCTTTTGTATGCCCAGCTGAGCCAATGTGCTGCCTTCTGACATGGTGTGTGTCATTGTCATCATGCAAGTGTTCAAGCAGGAGTGACCAGAGTGTGCAAAGAACTTCTTTCATTTTGGTTTACAGTAAACATACTCTGGTGTGGCATCCACCCTGAACCTGGCCAGTCCTACAGACACACAGAAGACCTGTCCTGTCTTCCCCAAGCTATGCATACAGCTAACAACAGATAAATTAGAAATCTGTTTTTGAGAAAGAAATGAAAAAAAAATAGTAAATTTTGAGACTGCAGTGCAACAGTAAGATACAGGATAGGAATCCTGAGGCAGAGGCCTTGGTGTACATGGTGCATTCCACCATTGCCACTTCCTCTTGTTGCAAAGAAATGAAGGTTCAGTAAGTATTGGGCCACTGACTGTAATATAATAGCTCTTTAAACTTCAGATTCAGAGTATCAGAGCTCTCTGTGGTGAGTATTTAAGAGCTGTGGCTATAAGTAATTTAATTTGCTGTCCGTTTGCAAAGGAACTGAACCAACAACAGCTACACAGAAAACATCCTTTCTGTGTTAATTAGAGCAGTATGCAAATCCTACAGCATGGTAAAACGTTAAATGTGAGGCTTCTCCCTGCATTTAATGTAAATTTTGGATCTAATTGTCCCACTTTGTCATGCCATTTCTTGTAAATTGCTGTCCCTTCCGATAAAGGAATTCACTCATCCAAATGCCACATGTGGAGGAAAATGTGTGTTTGTTATTTGCATGTACTTCAGTGACCTGTTAGTGATGCCTCAGTGCTGAAGCAGAATATGCATCTGAACAAAAGAAATGCCTGTGCTGTTTCTGTTCATCATTTAACCTGTCTGAACTATTTATACAGCCCTGTTAGAAGGGCACTGCACATAAACCAATTTCACCAATCCCTTTGATGAATATTCAGTGAGGTTGATAGGTCCTGCTGAGCTTTTTGCAGGCTGGTGTGTGCATAATGAATACTGAAAATGTCCCATATTAACAATATAAGACTGCCTATGTTTGCTTCTAAAGGCACTGAAAAATGTGCATTGCAAACTGCAATTGCCTTTGATTCCAAGGGCTGTGGAAGGTTCAGTATTTGCTGTCACACATATATGGAACCCAAAATTACCTAGCTTAGCTGCTGTGATTACTTCATGCCACACTGTGCAGGCTGCCAGTGTGGAGATCCCTGTTTAGTGTCACTTGGTGGATTTTTTCACTCGTGCTTTTATCTTTTTTTCCCCTTTTTTCCTTACATTTGCCTCAATCCCTAACACATTTTAGTTTACTCTGAGGAGTGGGGATAGGACAGACCAGGCTTTCAGGCTGTGCTGCTGCTTTGTGCTTGGTGCTGTTTGCTCTGACAGCCAGGGAGCAGAGCCTGGGTGACCCCAGTGTTCCTGCACCCTCCACACACCTGGCTCACAGCCAAAACCCCCACCCCAATTCCTTTTCACTGACAACTTTCTAATGTTGGTTTGTTGGTCTTTTTTTCCCTGTTAAAAATGTATCCTTATTTTTACATTCGAATACATTATGAGATTTATGAGATTTTACATTATGAGATTTACATTATGAGGATTTTTTTATTACTTTACATTTGAATAGATGATGAGATTCTCCTTGTGAAAAACAAACAGATGTTATGCTTTGTGCATTACAGGTTGTTGCATTACTTATTTGCTGCTTTCCTAACAATTCCCGATTTTTCTATTTTGCTTCCGTTTTCGTTGCTTCTTGCTATTTGCTTGCAAAAACAAAACAGGCAAGCCTGGTAAGTAAAGCTTTTCACCAACTTTCACACCAGCATTTTGCATCTTTAGTTTCTTTTGCTTTTGTTCTCTGTTTGCTGCATTCCCATTAAGTCGTGTGAGTAGTAGTGAGCTGAGCCTGAAAGCGGATCTGCCATGGTGCTGCTCTGATTCTGTCAATTTGGATAGTGCTAGTCCTGAGCATACTGCTGTGATTGTTGGTGAGCCCTGGGCAGGGTGTGTTGCAGATGTGGAAGTCATTTAATTCAAATATTTTGATCACATAACCTCGTAAACATATTTAGAATTAAGGATGTGTGGCCACTTAACTAAGATTTGACTGGCAGACTGTTACCAGCACGCTTTATTGAAACTAAATCATAGTCTTAGAAAATAGAAGGTCCTTTCCAACCCAAACCATTCTGTGATTTTATGTAAATATCACATAAAACTCTAGTCTCCCTCCAGCCAAGTTTCTGCCTTTTGTTGTATTTAACCACTTTGGTTTGGGAGCATCACTTAGACATACCTTGGAGCAGCCTGGTGCCGTGGGAGGTGTCCCTGCCCATGGCAGGGGGGTGGAACTAAGTGAGCTTTAAAGGATCTTCCAACCCAAACCATTCTGTGACTCTGTAGCATTTGCCCCAGTTTCCATGAGTTTAAATGGTGCTGGGGGTTGAGTGTTGGAGGAGCTGATCCAGCTGAGGAGAGAGGAGAGCCCACAGTGTGCTGGGAGGAAGAGGAGGAGCTCAGTAGTTGTGAGGGAGTGTCACATGAATTTTATTAACTTCGTGATCGCCCTGGAAACAAGTAAGGAAGTGGCTAAAATACCTCAGACAGCAGTCTCACTAAAAGTAGGGATGTGATACTAAATACATTAAAATATTTTGGATGAGGATGCACATGGATCTCTTGCCCATGGAGTTGCAGTGACAGAAGTGTTGCCAGAGAGCAGCATCCTGCCAGGAAAGGGTTTGGAATTATCTAGGCAGGGTGTAATCTCCAGCACAATTAAACAAATCTAGTGCTGGAACACAAGGAGACAGCCTCTGAGCTTTAGAAAAATAAACAAAAAACAACAATTTTTTTTGTTTTAATTGAGAACACATTAATTTTGACATTAGAGAGGAATACGAGGTGTCTCTGAGAAAGCAAAATAGAAAAGAATGTTTCTTTTTAATAAAATGTTAAATATATCCACGTGATATTGTATTACACAGTTGGGCTTCTCTGCCATGTCCACGGTGTTTGTTCAGCAGTAAAATAAAGGTGTTACAAGCAGGTCCTGAGAACTTCTCTGGTTCTTTTCATCTTCTGTATCACACAGAGCAAAACAAGCTCAGGTCAGGCTCTGCCCCAGCCAGGTGCTGTCAGGGGTGAGCAGAGGAGCCCAGGAGCTGATGCACAGCTTGGCATCATCTCTGCTCTAGCCTTGGTCAGGCCAACAAAAATATGCATTTTTTGGATGGAATATGCAAAAGGAAGAGATGAATCTCAGTTTGGGAATTGACAGTATCAGCTTTGACATTTTGGAGCTGATCAGCACTATAAATAATTCAGATGAAATCTATTCAAATAAAAACACCAAACTTGTTTAGTTCTTTATGTTTCCAAATATAAAGGCCCAAATGAAAAGTTGGACCTTGTGAAATGCCCCATGCTTTTTCCACAGGAGAACTTTTTACCTTATCTTAGTTTCTATCATAAACCAAGGAAAATGGTAATATAAAACTGTTGTGTTTTGTGGGTGGGTTTTCCTTTCAGTATCATGCAAAGTACCCCTTAAAACAAGGGCACAAGAATCATAGTTCAGGACTGAAGAAAACAATGCAGCATTTTGGAAGACAATGCCAGACCTTTTCTTCCAGTGTTATGTGAATATTCCAACTTATTATGAGGTCAAGTCCCTTGAAAATTCCTCCTCCCTATGGATTTGTATTCCTGTTATGTTCTTCCCACCACCCCTGGCTCAAATTTAACTATACACAAGAGGAGCTTGGCAGATGTTTTTTGCAGTTTTTTACACTTAGGAAGTCTGTCTGATGTTAGATTTCCTTTCTGCCACTTGCTCCAGCAATCCTGAGAGCTGGTAAAACATTGCTTTTCCAGGGGAAGAATTGAATTGCACTGAACAAAGTGCCTTGTTTGTGCAGGATTAGAAGGTGCCAGGAGATGACAGGCATTTATCAACAGTGGCAAATAATTTGTGGCCAGTGCTAGGAATGTGCATAAATGTCCTTTCCTTCAGCTAGTGCATCTTCAGGGGAAATCCAGCACCTGCCTTTTCGAGTTCAGAGTGAAGAAATCATCAGTACAGAGATACATTCACATTTTCCCCCAACATCAAAATATTTAAATATCACTGTGTTTAGCAACTGTTTTCCAAACCAGGCTTGTGTCTTTATATAAATCTGACTTTTCTGGATCCTGTAAACTTACTAATACACAAATAGGGCAGAGTATAGTAGAAACTGTAGATGATAGTGAACTCAGTGGACTTACTCCTGTTACCCTTCTGAAAACCTCCCTTTTCTCTACTCCTCTCTTCTTTCAGAGGATGAACAGAGAGAGAAATCTGTCTCCCACCACACTGTTCAGCAGCTCATAGTGGAGAAGGAGCAAGCTCTGGCCGATCTGAACTCAGTGGAGAAATCCCTGGCAGATCTTTTCAGGAGATACGAGAAGATGAAGGAGGTCCTGGAGGGGTTTCGGAAGGTGAGTCACCTTAACATCTCCTTTAAAGAGCAGAGCTGAGCAGATTCTGTGGACCAGAATGTGCTGTGCTGCTGGACAGAAGGCAGGACTTGTGTTTCCAGCTAATTCTGATGTTCTGCATGCCAAACCATAGTCCTCAGGTGAAGGATTGCAGCCAGCTATCAAATGCAAACAGAAAAATTGTAAAGCTCTTTGCATTGTGAAATATTCTCCTTCAGATGGGCTCAGTGGGGATGTCAGTGTTGGACTGCAGCCCTTCAAACAGCTGTGTGTGTGACTCCCTGTCCTGCATTTTAACCTCTTGGTTTAAATTTGATGTCATCTTCTCTTTTAAGAATGAAGAAGTGTTGAAGAAATGTGCGCAGGAATATTTGTCACGAGTGAAGAAGGAGGAGCAGAGGTACCAGGCACTCAAAATTCATGCTGAGGAAAAACTGGACAGGTAATTGAGTCATGGATTCACAGAATGGTTTGGGTTAGAAGAGATCCTTCCTAAAACCATCTTGTTCCACCCCCTGCCATGGGCAGGGACCTTCCACTGGTCCAGGTTGCTCCAAGCCCTGTCCAACCTGGCCCTGGGCACTTCCAGGGCTGGTGCATGGACTGTACACATTTTTTCGGGAGTTCATGCTGCAGAAGGATTCCCATGGCTGGACCTCACATGCCAGACTGCTCCTGCAATATGCAAAGCACAGGCTGCTCTGGGATAGAGGTGGAAAGAAATGCAATAATGAGAATTTCTGCAATGTGCTGGTGTTTCTTCCAGCTCCTCACCATACAAAACCTTACATTTCTATATTTAGCTAATGCCTTTACATTTGTTAATGTATTATCATGGGAGGATCAAGAAAGAAGCCATTAGCCAGTTTCTTTTTTTTAGATCTCCACGTAATGACCACTTAAGCCTTTCTAGGGATCATGTTCAGGACTCACAGTACAGTGCCCTGAACTGGAGATCGTATTTGGTAACTGCCATAAAACACTTCTACCTGAGTCATATCTGTGAACCCAGCAGAGATATGTGAGAGAATCATGAAGGGGGCAACACAGACAGTAAGAAAAGACTCTGCAGCCCCTGCTGAGCAAGAGAGGGAGTTGTGAAAAGTTTTTAGGGTCAAGTCTCACAACATACCCAGGATGTGCAGAAGGCAGCCCTGCCCTCTCCCCCCATTTGTTAAGGTGCTGTCCACCCTGGGGCACCCTCTGCCCTTTCCTGTGGAGACCCTGATGTGACCAAGCCCTGTGATTTTTGCAGAGCCAATGCTGAAATTGCACAAGTGAGAGGCAAGGCCCAGCAGGAGCAGGCAGCGTACCAGGCCAGCCTTCGCAAGGAGCAGCTCAAAGTGGATGCCTTGGAGAGAACACTGGAACAAAAGGTAAATAAACCAGGAGCCAAGCCCTGCCTGAGGATTGTCCTGCAGCTTTGGGGACAGCAACACTCCCCAAATTTTAAGGCAAAGCCCCTGTGTGCACCAGCTGGAGCCAGGTTTGATCTGAGCCCAAGTGTTTGGGGCTGGCTCAGCCTTGGGCAGAGCTCAGGGTGCAGCCCAGGCCTTGGCTTGCTTCAGTTCTCAGGTTTTTCTCTCGGATTGTTTCCCTTTTTAGTGCTAGCTGTAATTCCAATGCTAATTCCAAAGTGTCTGTAGGAAATGCCTATTTATATCTCTAGCTCAGCCAAGGGAGCTTGCTTTGACATAGAACAGCTCGTCCTTGCTTGCAGCTCTGCAAGGCTGGGTGAAAATAATGAAAAAAAAAATTGAAAAGTGCAGCCTAGAAACAAATTTCCACTCTGTATTATTGTGGAGTGCTGGGAATGAGTGCTGTGAGGCTGTCTGCTTTGGTGCTAAATTTGATTTATTAAAACTGGAGGAGCTGAATTTGGAAAAAAGGAAGCATTTGTTTGAATGCATGTAGCTGTACTATGAATATGAACACTTAGTTGTGCTATATATGCACATATATCTGTATGTATAGATCTCCTGTTCTTAGCATTGGAGAAAAGTTAATTTTCCCACACCTTTCCCACTGGTTAGATAACGTTAAAATTAGAAAAACCCCTCATCTTAATGCAACAATCCTTTTCCTAATACTTCATATTTTATTTTCCAGAATAAAGAGATAGAAGAATTAACAAAGATTTGTGATGAACTGATTGCCAAAATGGGGAAAAGCTAACTTTTAACCAAATTTCTGGACTTCAATACTGAGTGCAATATGACCATTGGCACACTGATGTCCATACATTTATGTGGACAGGTTATATTTTCACTTTTTCGTATGCACTACTGTATTTTCTTTCTAAATAAAGTTGATTTAATTGTATGCAGTACTAAGATGACTATCAGAATTTCTTGCTATTGTTTGCATTTTCATAGTATAATTCATAGCAAGTTGATCTCAAAGTTCCTGTATCAGGGAGATTGTCAAGTTCTCTAAGAAAATACAAATTGCTGATCCTAGCCTTCCCTTTGTACATGAGTTCCCATGTTGGATGTCTTTTGGATTTAATATAAACATGTATTACTTGCATGGGGACTCTTGCCTTAAGGAATGTAAACTTTATCTGCATTTGCTGATTTGTAAAATAAAATCTAAAAAAAAAAAAAAAGAAGGAAAGAAAATGCATGTCACAAATGAAATTCTCTATTGTAAATAAATTTTTTCGTTGAAAGTTGAAGATAAGTATGGTTCTCTTTTGTGTCCTTCACTTGCTTATTTCAGCACCAGATGCTCTTGGGAATTAATTCCTCCAGAGAAAGCACTTCATGGGTCACTGCTTGGAACACTTTGTGGGTCACAAGAGTCTGCTGCTTATGTGCACATATCTAGGTCTATATCTTAATGTCTCTCTAAATATATATGTATATATGTGTGTCTGTGTGTTGGATTTGGACCACTCAAGTCTCAAGCATAGGCTTAATCCTCCAAAATATTTAATGCTCTGACCCTGATCCAGCAAATCCCATGGGCAAATGTAATGAGGCTGTTGGAGGAGTCAGAGGCTGTGCCATGTGGTGACAGGATGGTTTTTAAGCATGTCTGGCACTGAAAGGTGAATAATTTCCTGCTCCTGGCAGAATTTGCCTGCAGGACTGGTGGAGCTGAGGTTGGTGTGATCAGAGGTGCAGCCAGAATAAGCTCCATAAGTAGCACTCTTGAACACCTCTTTATCCTGTAAGTTATCCTCTGCACAGGATTAGGGATGGAGGAGAAGCATTAAGGCTCTAATAGCAAACAAACTGCTTTCTTTGCCTAATGGTGCATCTCTTGGATCTCCATGATGTGGACAGTCTTCAGCCTGGTTCTTGTCAGCTCCCTTTTTGTCCTCAAAAGTAAGTCAGCTCCTTTTTCTTTCCTTTTTTTTACTTCATTTGCATTCCCTGCCTCAGGCATGGCTGAGCCTCTTTGCTGTTCTGGGCTCCTCTCCTGGGCTGGGTGGTTTCAGGTTATTTTGTGTGTGTGGTTAGCAGCACAGAACTGCACTTCTGTAAAGATAAATGTGTGTGCTAACAGACCCAAATGTCCCCACTGATAGCAAGGGTGGGATTTCTGCTCTGCAAGCTTCAAGTGTGGTGTTTGAAATATCTTCATAACTCATGCTTGCCTTCCTTTGAAAATGCCATGTAGTTTGAGGCAAGGAAAAGAAAGAGGATTGAGGTGTGGTTGTGGTGTTTAAACAAGAGCAAAACTCAAGATACATTGCTGTGCTTTCCAGCTGAATTGGTACTTCAGGAGAAGAGGAAAATTGGATCATTGTAAGATTTTATGTGTATACAATGTGCTTTCTCCTGGTACTGTGGACCAAAGATCACGATAGGGGGGAAAAAAACCGATTTGTGGGCTCTGCTCTGAAAACATTACAAGAAGATATGGATGCAGTTACAGAATATCAAATGTTTCTTGTATTATTTTAAATGCAGATTATAACAACTAAATAATCTGTGGTTGATTTGTTTATTATTTTTTGTCAATATTTGACCCATTTCTAAAAAATAAACATTGATAAGATTTACAGACTCTTTGGATTTTCTAAAGCTGTTTTGGAATTCTTTTATGTATGCTTGAAACCATACTAGAAAGATCGATATTTTTAAATACTTCTTGTAAATTCTAAATGGTCTCTTCTCCCTCCACCCAGGTGAAGCACTGCAGTGTTACACCTGTGTAGGTTCTAGTGATGATGACTGCAACAGACAAGGAAGTCAGCAGTGCCCAGGCCATGCAGATGCATGTGCAGTCATTAGAGGACAAGCAAGTAAGTGTCACAAATGTGTCAGACCTGTTGCATTTGTCACAAAAGAAAAAAATAGAGAGGAGTGCTGAGTAAGTTAAGGAGAAAACCAAAAGTAAATGTCTCCTCTCAAAATAAACCCCGTTAATGAATCTCAGTCCTGGTTTTGTTGTCACAAAATCCCACAGGGAATGATTTGTCGGTGCGCCACGATGAGCTGCACCCAGTCTGTGGGAAAGCTGGAAAGAAGCATTTTAAGTATTGCCCACTTTAGCTGGAAATTAGGATGGAAGAGAAGCTAATGAGCACTTGGGCACATCCAAAGATATTTAAGCTGCCCCAGTTGCCTCTAAGGTAAATCAGAGTTATTTAAGGGGGAGCTGTTGGTGCGCTGCCTTGTTGTGGCCGTGCTCATTTTCCTGTGAGGAGCAGCCCAACGCGAGGCTGCTGCCCAGTGCTGGGTGCTCAGGCTGGTGCTGGGGGGTGCAGGAGGCCGTTTGCAGCCCCTGTGGGCTCACTGTGGCTCTGTTGCAGGTGGCATCATGAAGTCCTGCTCGTTCAGGTCCTTCTGCGAGCGGGCGAGGCGCGACGGATCGAGGGCGCCCGGGGTGAGCGTCCACTGCTGCTACTCCAACAACTGCAACGCCAGGAGCCTGGCTCCCAGGGTCACCAGCTCCTGCAGCCTCCCCCTCCTCATCCTCACTCTGCTCTGGCTCCCCTTGCTGAAGCTGACATGAGGGGGAAAAGGGAAAAAAGAGTATCCTGAAGCAACAACTCTGCCTTCTTAGCAAGGGGTGATAATATTTGCTAATCACGTTGCTCCATGTACCATTTATCTCACTAGGCAAAAAGCTGTAGGAAGACCTGACAGATGTTTAGATAAAAAAATTGTTTCATCTGCTAAATAGGTCTTGATCTCTGTGTAAGGAATGCTGCCCTGCTGTTTATTTTCCTGCAATTTGGATAGGGAGAAATCTTGGCTGCAGGTAACCTGGTAGTAAGGTCAAGGGCAAACGGCTGCCAAATGCTTTTTGCTGTTGGCAGATATTCAAAAGCAAGCTAAAATTTTCAAGCACAAAGTGACTGAAAATTCTAGCGAGCAAGTTAATCTTCCAGAGCACATTGGCGTGCTGGACAAAAGGAAACTTGAAATACAGATGCTTTAGTATTAATACCAACTGGTAAGAGAAGGTCATTAAGAGAATAATGCATGGAGGTATATTCTGTTGTATATGATATGTTCCTGGCAGGGAGGCTGGATGATCTTTAAGATCCTTTCCAACCCAAACCATTCAATGGTTCTATGCTTGTGTGTGTATTTCCCTGGAAGAAAACACCTTCCAGTCTTCTCTTTTCTGATCCCTTGAGAATTTTACCACAGCATCAGAAGAGGAAGTAAAAAGAAGAGTTTGGAAGTTGTTTTTGAACTGGTACTCCATCCAAAGATCAGCTCAACCTCTCTCCTGCTGGTTTTAAAAACAAGTGATTAATCCCTTTCTTGTAGGCAAATGATAACTTGAGTTTATAATTCTTGAGGTTTCAGTTATGTAAATAATTCTCCACTGCCCTAAACTGCAGCCTTTGATCTGTACAGGTCATCCCCTTCAGTGATGTGGTGGAGTTGAGGTGGTTTATGATCTTTTCATTTTGCAAAGTGAATGAAATTACTTGGAGGTCTTCAGAGGCATAAAGAGGGACTAAATCAATATTTTTAATAAACCCATTCATGGCAGTTTTACCAAGTAAATGATCCAGAAAGGGTCACACAGTAGAAGGCATTGTGCATCACTACCTCCTTTGATCCAAAACTCAGAGCTCCAGGCAAGCAGATGAGTGAAATTTGTAGATTTTAATGTCCAGCTGTGATGATCTGGTCCAACCCCTGGCACACAACATGCACAGGACTGGCTGAAAGTCCAGCTGGTGTAGCTGAGGTAGAGGTGGTCTTTCCAGTTCTAGTTTTAGTTGCCTAGTAGGAAAAAGGTTAGGTCATCAAATTTATGGAACTCACAAAATAAGTGGCAAAGTAGTTTTTCCTCTAGCTTTGTGTTGTGACTTTTTTTCAGTACAATTCTTTGAAAAATCAGTTCTGGGCAGTGTGTAGTAGAATTCTTCACATTGACCAAAATTGTATTCAGGTTGCAAACTCTAGAGCTGCTGCGAGGTCAATGAGTGAGCCCTCCCTGCAGAGTGTAACCCTGCCTGCCTTGTAGCTGTCACAGGGGCTGAGCTGTCTCCTTGTTCTGCTGTGCCCTTTCCCCAGTGTGGATCCTTCCATCATCTCATGTGGGCTGTGGCTTCAGACTGCCTGGATTCTCCTGGGTTTGTTCAGGTGGGCTCAGACAAGGCAGCTTGGTCTATTTTTAGTCTCTAGGCACCGCTCTGATAAAGCTGTTAAATATAAAGATTGCAACAATGCAGCAGATCTTGGCTGAGAATGTTAATTTGGATTCCAGTGTCTCATCTGTATAAAAAATCATTTAAATTGGTGTAAGTATTTTTCATTTCATTCTCAGCTTGAAGCAGTTCCTTCAATCTCTTCTGCTACAGGAAGCAGGTATTGATTGTATCTTTATCTTCCTATGGTTCTGTAATGATAAATCTGTATTGAATGTAATCTCTGTATGTGCTCAGTGCATTTCCTTAATGAGAAAATAAATTACATGCAATGGCAGACATTGTCTCTTGGTAAACACAACTGCTTCTTTTAATTGGGATTTCCAGCTGCATCTGGTGCTCTGTTTTCCTGCAGGAATCCTGTTGGGCTTTGTTGTTTTGTTTTGTTTTTTTCTTTTAATGTGGGATATATTTCTTAAATCTGTTGGATAAAATAGTGGATGTTGGTAGTGTTCTTGCTGCTGTATTTCCCTGGTAAAATAAGAAGGTAAATCTCTATCCTCTTGACAAACACCATCTGTCATTCCTGACGGCAGCCAGGGCTGGGATCTTCAGGCAGCTCCCACCGCCTCCATCCATCCACTCCTGCCTCCCAGCTCCTCACAGGCCCTGCTCTGCTTTTTACAGCAAAAAAATACATTTTCCCTGTCCAATTATGACCCTGAAGTGTGCCTGCATGTGGATATCTAGGAGGGATGAACCACTTTTGTGGATTGGTGTTTTCAGAGCGGTTTCGTGATGGTTTTTGGCATAAGCGTTGACAGGAAGATAAGCACAAAGAAACAAAAACAAAATAGGATGAATATTTTTTAAACTCCATTAAATTGCAGAAAACATTTTAATGGTTTTGTTACCATGTCTGTGCAGAGCTATTCCCAGTCACAGGTGCAATAGAAAGTTGGTTGTTCTGAGGTGAATTCCTGCTGCAGCCACAGGCTCCTTCTCCCTTCCCTAATGTCAGCAGCAGAGAGGCTGATGCTGAAATGCTTTCTGCTGCAATTTAGAATGACAGGACTTCTTTTTCATCTCTTGTATCAGCTGGATTTATGTAATGGCTCATCTGGGTAAGTGTATTTGAGTGTAACTTTGCTCTCTCACCTCCAGGAAGAATGTCCAAAAAGATTCATTTCTAAGTGAGAGAAAATCTCAGTTGTACCTACAGCCCCAAATCACAACTTCCATTATTCCTTTCTATCCTCTTATTTTTGACTCTACAAACAGCATTCCTTTATTTTCCTGGTCCTGTCAAGGGCAGCCAGAGCCTCTTGGTCTTCTCAGGAGGGCACAGCTGAGCAGAGAGCCTTGAGCTCTCTGTAAACAGAGTGAGAATTTGCCATTTAATTTGTGTCAGTGTTCATCCACACCTGGCTTTTCCACAGTGAGCACAAGGTACCAAGTTGTCCCTTGTTCTTGGTGAGGAATAAGCAATTCTTGTGGTCTTGAATATCTAGATAAGCTCAACAGTGGCTGTGGAATTTGATGGGAGTTTCAAGTACATCTTGCTGTCACAAACCACAGTTTATTTTTTAACCTTTTTTTCCTCATGTGAAATTTCAGTCATGCATTTCTGTGCAGTAGGGATTAAACAAAAACCATCCTTGCAGCCTGTGTTACCATGTCTTTGTGTGCAAAGAAAGCCCAGCTGTGGCAGATTTCATTGTGAACATCACTCCAAAGGGTCTCAACCTTTCTGGACGTGCAGATGTTGAGGACACTGATGGCTGTGGTTGGTAACATGCCCTTGGGGAGGATTTCATGCCTTTGAAATCAGAATTCCTGAGTGCAATCCTGGAGCCCAGGATACACACACACTCCCTCTTATCACCCACAGCCAGCAGTGCAGGGGGTGTTTTTAATTGGAAAATTTGTGGTACGCTCAGAGGTGGCATATTTACTCTTAACAGAGTGGGGAAAATGATAACAATGTTAATCCCATAAAGAGTGTAGCAAGAAATTCATAGTGTTGGTGGTGTAGGTGCAGGTGAACTTTCTTAGCATCTGATAAAAATACCCCACAAGTGAAAAGCCAGTGTGGGATTGAGTTTGGAAAAAGCACAGAAGCAGCTCGTGCTTGGCAGGGTGGCTCCATGGAAAGTAGGTCTTGTCAAAAACATCTCATGTGAGGTTAGGGCTTTTTGCTGATAAAGGCAAATACATGGGGTTTTTTGCAACACATTTCAGATAAAATCACAGTCGTGATACACAGACTGAGAGTTCAAGAGCCAGGGGAGTGAAAGACTGCAGAAAACAAGTTCTCAGTGGAAAATCTTCCAAGTGGTGTCTTGAGAGAGGCGAGCTCCCGTCATCAGCCTCGGGACGGTGCCATGACAAGTGTGACAGAGAAGGGGCTGTCAAAGCTGTGCCATGCCTGCATGGAGACATTCCTGCACGTTGCCATAGGGATGGGTTTCCAAGGGAGACAGGTGATGATGCACTTTTCTGGAAAAAAACTAAAGCAGAGGGATGAGGGTGGGAGGATGGGGCTGAGCATTTTAGCACAGAATCACAGAAGGGTTTGGGCTGGAAGGGACCTGAAATCCCACCCAGTGCCACCCCAGCCATGGCAGGGACACCTCCCACTGTCCCAGGTGCTCCCAGCCCCAATGTCCAGCCTGGGCACTGCCAGGGATCCAGGGGCAGCCACAGCCTCTCCCAGGGAGGAATTCCTTCCCAAATTCCCATCTAATCCTGCCCTCCTTTTCAGCCACCCAACCCTCCTTTCTTCCATGTTTAGCATTAATAATCCTTAAAGGAATGCACTTTTCCTTAAATTCCTTACATCTTGTATAGCAGCCTGACTTAGCTCCACAGGCCCTCCTAAAACCCTTTCAGCTGCAAGCCCAAAAGATTTGCAAGTGTGAGGTGATGCTTGACAGGTGAAGAGGAATTTTTCTCTTGAAGCAATTTGCCTTCTCTCAGGACTTCCTGCCTTTCATACTCACCAAAATAGTTTTAATTTTTTCCTTTAAATACTCAAGGGGGGAAGGTATTGGAACACTGGCAGAGACTCAGCCAAAAAAATAAGACTGGTGTCCAAATCACTGATTGCTGCTGCCTTCACTGGAGACATTCAATGTCATGTTTTAACATCAATCATTGTCAGTTTCTGATTTTCAGTGAATAAAAACCAGTGTCTGTAGATCTGGAGCTCAGAGGGACTGGTGCTCTTTCTTCAGCCAGCTCAGAGCCTGATTTTCCCTAAAGGAACTTCTGATTTGTGGATTTGCTCCTGTGCTCTCCCAACCTAAAGAGAACTTTTGCAACATATCCTTGAGATCCTGAGGATGTTCATCTCCTTTTAGCAACTTTTCTTTAACCCTTTTACAATGTTTTGAGGGCTTTCCAATGCAAGCAAAATCTCCACAAGTGTGCAGTTATTAAATTCAAATTCTCATCCTTATTTGTCACTGGAATGAGATTTCTAATAGGAGGATAACCTCTGAATTTCCTCCTCACACTCTGCTCATTACCAGCCTTAATCAGCAAGGTAAGTTGTGCTCTAATTTTGCTTTATGTGAGCATTTGAAGTCCCAATGGTCAGGACACACTTTTGGAGAAATCTGCAGCCACAGAAGGGAAATGAGCACCCTGCAGTGTCCAGTGATGATTTGAGCCTCACTTCTGATGCACTGCATCCCTGAGAGCTGGGTGTGTGTAGCCATGATATTTTATGAAAAATCCTTCCCTTAGGATTTTTCCTCCTGAGAAGCTGGGAGGCCTCAGGAACAAAATGCAAACAATGATTATCTGCTGCTGTGGAATGCAACAGGTGCATCTGGGATTGGTCTCATGTGGTTGTTTCTAATTAATGGCCAATCACAGTCAGCTGTCCAGACTCTCTCAGTCAGTCACAAGCCTTTGTTATCATTCCTATTCTATTCTTAGCTAGCCCTCTGATGAAATCCTTTCTTCCATTCTTTTAGTATAGTTTTAATGTAACATATATCATAAAATAATAAATCAGCCTTGTGAAACATGGAGTCAGATCCTCATCTCTTCCCTCATCCTGAGACCCCTGCGAACACCACCACAGGTGTGTGTGGAGCAGCAAGGAACAAGCTCTGCCCTCCTCTCCTTTGGTCCTTAAGGGTTAAGTTTCACTTTTTGGAACTGTCTGTTTGCACTGTACCATGAACAGTGCTCATG